CTGCACCAGCAGTACCCTTCTGCTTCCTGATTGGGTTCAGCCAGAAGCTGTCCTCACTGAAGCAACCCTCCTACCTCCCGGGGACTGATGGAGCTGGCTTCTTCTTCTCCAAGCATGGCTGTGTAATAGGCCAGATTCTGGCTCATCACCTCATCATTAGGGAAGAAGAGGAGGTAGGTCTTGGCGCATTCAATAGCCTGTGTATAGTTCCCAACTGTAAAGGAAGAAAAGAGAATGTCTTTGGGGAAAGGGTGTAATCACGGGCACCAACACCCATTTAGCATCTGGTTGCAGAGAAGCCTTGAGGCCACGATGACAGGGCAAAGCAAAAGACTTGCTACACAGCATAACTGTTTAGAAGGGGAAGATCGTAAACACACCTCCTCAACTCAACCATACACGTACTCGTGGGCATGCTATAATGGCTGGTGCCCAGTAGGTACCCAGCACATAACTGCTGATTTGCTGTCCCGTGCCCCCCTCTACACCCCCTCTGTTGGATATTTTTAGTCCCTTTACTGGGAGGAGGTCTGGCCATGTCCTGTGAGCTGGTTTCAACAGTAGTACAGCCTTACTTTTGCTATTCATTTTAATTCAAATGCAAAAATAGATTACAAATGCAAAAAGAGGGTCCAAATAAGAGGCCCTGGAGTCCTCTGTTCTTAGCTTTTGGGCCACTGACATTGGCTACCTCGGCCAGTGGCTTGTGACGAAATACCCAGGGATCACTGGACATGTGGCCTCCCATAGACATATATGCTAGACACACTGAAGAAGTAGAGTGGCTGCAAACCCTGCTGTCTGGCTAACCTTCTTGTTGAGGCATCAGAGAGAAAGCAGGCCTTACTGTTATAGTAGGCAAACTGTAGATAATTATAATGTGAAGGAAGGAAGTCTTCGAAAGGCTTTTCTCGACTCGGGTGGGAAGCCAGCTCGGTGACACAGCTCTGCTTACAGCTGAGGACCTGGACATAATGATCTGGAAGGAACCAAAGATGAGGAATAAGAAAGTCATGGTTTAGCACTCGGGAGGCAGAGGCAGGCGGATCTCTGTGAGTTCTAGACCAGCCTGGTCTACAGAGCTAGTTCCAGGACAGGCTCCAAAGCCACAGAGAAACCCTGTCTCGAAAAACCAAAAAAAAAAAAAGAAAGTCACGGTTTAGGATTCAAATTCTGGCTCGATGGACAAACTGAAGTGGAACGCAATCTCTGTGTGGTGGAGATGCACATATATCTGTGCACGTGTGTGGTACGTGTGAACGCTCATGTGTCGAGGCCAGAGGTGATGCCAGGGGTCTTCAGCATTTCTCACCTCATTACTACTTTTTTTTTCGAGACAGGGTCTCTCCCACAGAAGCTCACACATATGATGAGACTGTCTGATCACCAAGCTCTAGTACAGGGATTACACGGATGTGGGTGCTTAGGAATCTTTTGTTTGAGGCAGAGGCAGGCAGATCTTGGTGAGTTCAAGGTCAGCCTGGTCTACAGAGCAAGTTCCAGGACAGCCAGTTCTATAAAGAGAAACCTTGTCTCGAAAAACATTAAAAAAAAAAATAAATAAATAAATAAACCAATTCCAAAATGAAAGAAAAAAAGAAGAGATTGAGGATGAGGCTTCAGGTAGTGTGTGCACGCATCAATTTAACCTCACAGTCCTGGGAGGGTGGAGAATGGACGCACCTGTGATGGCCTGGAAGAGGTCAGCACTGTAGTCTAGGTAGTTGTAGCCATCGTAGTCATAGGGCCCTTCGCAGAGGGCACGGCACTCCTCATCAGCCACAAAGTACTCTTGCAGCGCGGCCTCTAGGTGGGGCACAGCTTCCTGGGGCTTTTCCTCAGAGTAGAGGCGCACTCCTAGCCGAAACTCATGCTACTGGAGGAAAGGTATACTCAAACAGGCCCCAGAGGAACCCCTCACCTTGTCTGAAATCCCTGACATGAAGGTCCTAATCCCTACTTCTAAACTGTGGACGGAAAGGGGTTGTCTGGGTCTGCTATATGAAGAAGCTGTGAGTAGACGGGCTTCCCAGTAGCTTTGGATACACACAGAACTCCTAGTGCAGGGGAAGGCAGAGTTTGCTGTAATCCTTATACATTGCTGGAGAACCTACAGTTTTCAGATAACGGGCTAGAGAAAGATGCTTCAGTGATTAACAACATGTACTTTCAGAGGATTTGAGATTAGTTAACAGCACCCACATACGGTGGCTGGGAACTGCCTATGACTCCAGCTCTAGGGGCTATGATATTCTCTCCCTTCTCTCCCGGCCTCCTCATAAATTCTCTCTCTCTCTCTCTCTCTCTCTCTCTCTCTCTCTCTCTCTCTCTCTCTCACACACACACACACACACACACACACACACACAGAGGGTGAGGGGTGTCTTTTCACCATATGGGGCTTGGCCTCGAGATCCTTGAAGTCCGCTTCCTTTACTCCCGACATGGTTTGGTAATAGTCGAGGTTCTGCCGCATCTCCATGTGCTCAGGATTGCCCACGAAGAAGGTGTGTGCAGCAGCCACAGCTTTCTCTAGCTTGTTTATCTACGGATGAAGTAAAAGACTGAATGCCCATCCAAACTCTGGGGTTTTCATTATTCGCTTGGTTGGTTTCTCTGTGGGTGTGTCTACTAACATGGGGTGAGCCCTGTAGGTCAGCCTCAAACTCTCATCCCCCTGACTCAGCTCCCAAGTGCTGGGATGACAGGTGAAACTTTGTCTCCAAACAAACAATGAAATGTAGCGACTTAAGAGTCTAAAGCCGCAATGATCTGGGAACAGGGCAGAAAGGGCCGTGAACAATTACACACTGAGGTAAGAATCCAAGGACTGGGAGCAGAGGCCCACCACCATGCCCAGCGTGCACTCCTTGGTGCTCCAAGACAGGCGCCTTTCTTCCTTACCCACCCCACCTATGAGCCTTTTCACCTCTAGGCACTGGCGCCTGGCCTACTCTGGTGGACTACCGCACAAGGGTAGTCTTTCCTCTTTCCACTGCTGCCGCTTTCTCCTTCCGTCTATCCTATCCATCCACTTCTAGAATTAACCTTCTGAAAGCGAAGTCTGATGGTGGTTGTCCCAAGTGTGCAGAAGGTTCCTCTGAATCCAGCCTCCCTAAACTTTATGGTCCTTCTGTTCTTCACATACACCCCCACACCGGAGTCACTGCGGTGAACTGCCCCCATGGCACGGATGGTATTATGTTCTAGCTCTCCTTCCCCTCTCTGGGAGGGAGGGGGAACATTCTTCAATGCCACCTCTTCTCTCAGGCAGGCCTAATTTAACTGAAGTTCCCCTCCTTTGTGCTCCCACAACCCTAACTATCTGCATAACCACTTTAGCCCTTAGTGCAGTGTCTCCTAGCAGTAACGTAAGGAAAAGAGTCAACCAGTTATTTTAATCACCTGCCCAAGAACTGGAATGGAGCAGATGTTCAGTCATTGTCAATGCCAATAAATTTTAAGTAGTGCTTTTAAGTGCCACGACCTAAGTCAGAACCCAACCATTTGGGGCTTGTAGGTCCAGCTCTCCTTCCAATAACCAGAAGGGATGGAGGGCAGAAGAGGAAATCTGAGGTCTACAAAAGCCTTCAAATCTTTTAGGGAGAATCGAAGGTCTCTCAAACTGTTGTTGTAGATGTACAGTCTGTGTGGCGCAGCCCTCAGCCCCAAATGGGACTAATAGAATCTATTCAAAAGATGCTGCTTCATGGCAAATCAGTTAATAAACGCCAAGTGCCCCGAGTCCTGGAAATACACGCTGCCAGACAAGTCTGCTCCAAGCCCGTTTGTTGGCTTGGCCTTAAAGCGCTGCGGCATCCCTAAAGACAGTCATTTTCTTTAAACACAAATACAAACAACAAAACCAAAAACTGGCATACTAGCCAGAGGGTCCTCCACAGGGAAGAGCCAGGCAGCCCATGCTGGCGACGTGGCAATCCCACGTCCTGAAGGCGCTGCTCTTGAATTCGGGAGCAGGAAAAGCATGATTGGAGAAGGAACCGGAAGGAAGATGTTGCTGAAGCGCCTAGCTTCTCACTTGGACCACTTGCAATGAAGTAGGGCTGGGAGACCCAAGCGGTCGCCTCAGTTCCCTCTAGAAGGCCTTTCCAGAAGGAAAGGTCAGGTTCTTCTGGGCTTGGGCTGCTAGCATCTGCCCATAAGAACTGGATGAAGGGGCCTGAGTCCGCCAAGAGCTCTCTAGCCAAAAGGCTCCTTTTCCTCCCTGCGGACTCGTCCCTGCTCTGTTCCCCGAGAACCCCAGGTCTCCCGGGCCGATGGGCTCCGGGCTAGTCGCACCTTGAAGTAGGCGACTTGCAAGTAGTTGTAGGGACTCCTCTTGTTGAACTCCAGGTCCAGTTCCTCGCTCAGCAAGTGGGCAGCGGGCGGCCCGAGGCAGCGTCGCAGGCAGGCGGCACGGCGCAGCAGGGCCCCGAAGAAGCGCAGGTCGCGCAGGGCGGCGGCGCCCAGGTCCTGGCTCAGGTTGGGGGCCGGGCCGAGGTCGAGGTCAGGCGCCCACGGCAGCTCGGCCGCGCAGCGTGTGCGGCAGCGCAGGCGGAGGGCACGCAGGGTGGCCCGCGAGCGCAGCGCCCGCTCCATGTTCAGGACCACCCCGGGCCAGTCCCCACGAGCGTAGGCGGCGGTCCCCTCTGCGTAAAGCAGATCAGGGGCTGCCACGTCCCATCCCGGCTCAGACTCCTCCGCGGCTCGCGACGCGGCAGCTGCGGCGACGGCTAGCAGCGCGGCCAGCAGCCTCCTGGCGCTCATCGCCATGGCCCCGGCTCCTTCACTTAACGGGACACTTCGCCTCGGGCACAAGCCAGAGTCCCGCCCCGCAGAAGCCACACTCGGAGACGAGCCACGCCTCAAGCCCCGGAGTCCGAGGCCGGGAAGTTTGCACCGCCTCTTGCTTTCAACCAATCGGAACATTCGTTCTTCGCGGGGCTCCGCCTCCAAACTCAGGCACGGCGTTCAATGGCTTGCGAATGAGAAAGCTCCGCCCACAAACTGTTGTGCGCCTGCGCTTCATTTCCCCCGTGGGCGGTGGGGCCGAAGTGCTGTCATGGCGGACCCGGCGGCTCCCGGCCGGCTGGAAAGAGGCACTGGAAATCTAGGGGTACAGGAGGCGACGGGGCCTGGAGGTAGGTGGGGCTGAGTTGGCCGGGGGAAGAGGTCGTAGCCGGGCGGCTCGTCTCTGCTGCCTCGCGGGAGGCTGAGGGCTACAACTTATGCCCGTGTTCCCGGGTGTGTGTCGCAGGAGCCCTGGTGGAGCTCACCCCGACCCTCGGCGGCCTGGCTCTGGTGAGCCCCTACCACACCAACCGGGTCGGGGATCCCTTAGACCTCGTGGCGCTCGCCGAGCAGGTGCAAAAGGTGAGGAATCGCCATCTCCGTACTTTAAACCCTGCGTCTTTGGGCTCCGACCTAAAATTTAATCTGCGTCCTCAGACAACCTTTGAGCTCGGCAGTACTACCATCCCATTTCACACACGAGGAGGATCGCTCTATCTCCAGTTCTTCCTTGTTGTTAGTTTGTTTTTGATACAGGGTTATCATGGAACTCACTATTAGACTGGTCTGGTTTCCAACTGAGTTCCACCTGCCTCGGCCTCCTGAGTTCTGGGATTAAAGGTGTGTGCCAGCAAGCTCATCTTCTATCCCATATACTTGAATAGTTAATTGTTTTATGCTGCTTCCCATAGAGTCTTTATCTGCTACCTAAGACCTTGTGGAGGAAATATATGCTATTTCCTTTTAAACCAAAAATTGGTGCTGGAGGTGTAGTTTGTGGTTACACCACTTGCCTAGGCTGAATTGGATCCTCAGCACCACCAAAAACAACATGTAAAAAGGGACAGGGTAAAATTCCCATTTTGGATGAAAACAACAATAACAACTGGAGACAGTTTCATCTTGCTGGATAGCCCAGGCTAGCTTCCTATTCAGCCCCCCAAAGGCTGGATATTAACGGGGGCTGCCACACCTGGTGAATTTCAATGGGTTCAATATTCCTATGTCCAGAGCTTAGACATCAGTTCCCATAACAGATAAAGAACATATGCAAGATAATGGAAAAGGCAATAGAAGTCTGGGCACATTAGCTTTGGATAAGTTGCTTCTCTCTGGAGCTCAGGGTCTGTAAAATGAGACATTTGAGGTGGGAGAGCCTTTAGGTCCTTCTCCTCTGTAGAATTCTTTTCAGTGCCAGAGCCTGACTACTTTAAAAGCTTCTAGTGTCCCCTCCCTCTTGTGTAAACTAGCTTATTTGGCAATGATCGTGTTCAAAAGATTGCTTTGGTCAAGAAAATTAATGATAATGTGGTCAAATCCCTCACATAAAAAGCTACGTCTGAGCCGGGCGGTGGTGGCGCACGCCTTTAATCCCAGCACTCGGGAGGCAGAGGCAGGCGGATCTCTGTGAGTTCGAGACCAGCCTGGTCTACAGAGCTAGTTCCAGGACAGGCTCCAAAACCACAGAGAAACCCTGTCTCGAAAAACCAAAAAAAGAAAAAAAAAAAGCTACGTCTGAGCCGGGCGGTGGTGGTGCACGCCTTTAATCCCAGCACTCGGGAGGCAGAGACAGGTGGATCTCTGGGAGTTCGAGGCCAGCCTGGTCTACAAGAGCTAGTTCCGGGACAGGTACCAAAGCTACAGAGAAACCCTGTCTCAAAAAAACAACAACAACAAAAAAAAAACAAAACAAACAAAAAAAACCTATGTCTGCTGTTTATTTGAGAAAACTTCAGATGTTTAGGGAAGCGTCTTTAATTAAAGCCTTACCTTTTTATACAAATAGAAACGGGAACAAAATAGAACTTTTGTGGATGAGAAGACTATCATGTGTCTATTTAGTCAAATTGCTATTGAGAGGGAAGTAGCAAGGTTCAAAATCTTGGGCAAACAGTACTTTGAGTTTCTCTGAGTAACTATCACGGCCTCAGCCAAAGAAAGAAGGAATACAGTTTTTGTCTTTTTTTGTTTGTTTGTTTTTTTTTTCGAGACAGGGTTTCTCTGGTTTCTCCAGTTTTTGTCTTTTATATCATAACATAGTGAAATATAAAGGTTATATTATTCTGTTGCCTCCAACTCTCCAGTATAACCGATCCATCAAGGAGAAACTGAAGAAAAAGATGCTATACAAACAAATTGAGAGCTGGAAAGATGGCTCAGTGGTTAAGAGCACTGACTACTCTTGGAAAGGACCCAGGTTCTGTTACTAGCACCCACATTACAACTCACAATCATTTTTAACTCCGGTCCAGGGGATCAAATGCCCTCTCTGGCCACTGTGGGCATTGCTTGAACATGATGCACCTACACGCATGCAGCCGGATACCTATCCCTATACAAGAAAAAACTCTAAAGGCTAAGTGAATCAACATACTCATGGTCTACATATGAAACACACTTGCTAAGAGGACTGACTGCTGGCTCCCTTAATATGTGTTCAGAAAGCTTTGGGAGATTTGGTATTGAGGCATGGATTTTGGAATTAGACTCATCTGTGGTCAGATCCCTTAACTGCTATTTATTAATTGTAAAACCTCAGTTGCTACACCCGAGTCTTAATGCCTAAGTAAGGTTATCATATCTAGAGAGTTAGATGTCGTTATTAATACAGAGGTTCTTGGGCTGGCTAGGTAGAGGATCAATGCTTAGCAATTATAAGTACCTTTGAGACTGGAGATGGCTGAAGGGTTAAGAGTACTTGCTCTTGCAGAGGACACATGTTTGGTTTCTGGAAGCTACCTGGTGACTCACAACCATTCATTACTCCAGTTCCAGGGGACTGAGTGCTCTCTTGTGAATTCTTCAAGTGTTGCACACACAGTGCACATACATACAGGTAAAACACTTATACACTCATATTGTCTTAGTTAGGGTTCAATTTTTGTGAAGAGATACCGTGACCGCAATAACTTTTATAAAGGAAAACATTTAATGGGGGCTTAGAACTTGAGAGGTCTAGGCCATTATTATCTTGATGGGACATGGTGGCATGCAGGAAGACATGGTCCTGGATCTGAGAGTTCTACATTTTGATAGGCTGGCAACAGGAAGTGAACTGAGACACTGGGTGTATCTTGAGCATTTGAGATCTCAGAGCTTAGCTTCACAGTAACACACTTCCTCTAACAAAGCCATACCTACCTTAACAAAGCTAAACCTCTTAATAGCGCTACTCCCTTTAGGGGCCATTTTCTTTCAAATTATTGCATTCCACTCCCTCTCTCCCAAAGGCTTTTAGACATATCATAATGCAAAAATCAGTCCAACTTCAAAAGTCTCCATAGCCTGTAACAGTCTCAAACTTATTTAAATGTCTAAGGTTCAAAGTCTCTTCTGAGATACATGTAATCTCTTAACTGTAATCCCCTGTAAAGTCAAAATAGAAAAGCAGATAACATACTTTCTACTTATAATGGCACAGACTATATATTATCATTCCAAAACATAGTGAAGGGAGCATAGTTAGGAAATACGAGATCAAAGCAAAACCAAAAACCAGCTGGACAAACTCAAAACTCTGCATCACCATGTCTGATGTCAAAACTTTCCAGATCTCCAACTTCTTTCAATTTTGTTGATTGCAACACATTTTTTTCTCTCTTGGGCTGGTTCCACTCGCTGTTAACAGCTTTTCTTGGCAAGGTATAGGATAGCTCTCTGCCATCTCCACCATCCTGGGGTCTCCAACAAATCCAGGCTTCACTTTCACATCTTCATGCAGTGGCCTCTCTGGGCCTCCATGCAGGAAGGAATACCCATGCCTGACCTCAGTGGCTTTCCTTAGTCATGGGGGAGACTCCATAATCCTTCTTCTCTCCTTGACTCTAAAGCCAGAACCACGTTGCTGAAGGTGCAAAGTTCAGCTGGTTGCTGGGGCTGGAACATGACTCCCTTGTTAATGCTGTCTTTACCAGCTTTCTGTATTCCATGGCTTCCTTCACTGCCTGAGCTTGGAACTCTGTTCTGGAACTTGCTCTGTAGACCTGGCCTCACACTCAGAGATCCACCAGCCTCTGTTTTCCATGTTGAAATTAAAGGTGTGCACCGCTGCACTTGGCTCTAACATATATAAGAACATCCTACCTCACATAACAGCTTGGACTCCACAATGGGAAAGCAAAACCAAACAAGGGGGCCTGAGAAATGGAGGGTTTAGTTGTGCAGAGAGGAAAGGGAGTGATCTTTAGATGGAGGACGTGCTCATGTTTGGTGGCAGTAGATGAGGGTGCGGAAGCACCAAACCTTGTGATTAGAGCTGAGAGTGAACGGTAGTGGAGATAGATGAAGGGTGCGGGTCATTACAGTGTGGGCTTCTCCTGAGTTGGGCCCTAGGGTGGGTGGGAATTTACATGGCAATGGAATAGGAAGAACACTTTAGGTAGACGCAGAAGCTGTTGGCATAAGTCCTTGAATTGCATCTTGATGTGACCACAGGTGCCACTTGCCTTTTCACCCTACAGTATGGTTTCTCTCCTTTGTAGGCTGATGAATTCATCCGAGCAAATGCTACTAACAAGCTGACAGTCATTGCTGAACAAATCCAACACTTGCAAGAACAAGCTAGGAAGGTGAGAAAGGCCAGTGCAGGTTAGGCAGGCTTTTCTTTTCCTTTGCTTGGGAGGGTTAGCCGAACTTATAATCATGGTGCCTTCTTTGTTTTTCATACATTCTGAACATGTAGACCTTTTGATTAAATGCCAGAAATATGTCCAAGAGGTTTCATTAGTTTATTTTGTGTTGCTATGATGAAATACCTGGAGCAGGTTAGCCCTATAATGATGTTTATTTTGTACATACGTTTAGAGGTTCGAGTGGTGCTGGTGTAGCTCAGCTGTGGGGAAAACTCTCTGGGTCACATCTAGTTACAGTAGAACATGTGTGGGAGAACAGACACATCTTGAAACGGGGTTACAGATTCAGGTGTCAGGCCCTGGCTTTTACAACATCAAGTCCTGGTTTGTGTCTTCACGTCGCTCTCCCCAGAATTCCCTTCTGAGGGCAGTGCCCTCCCTCTTATGTCACTCTGCTGGTGGCCAGGCTCCTAGCATCCTTTAGGAGACAAATGACATCTGAACCATAACAGAAGTTAAGCAGAAGTGGGTTTTGTTTCCTATGCAGGAGAAAGGTAAGATGAAGCTTTTTAAGGGAGGAAGAGTTTCTTAAGAAATGTACTTGACCCAGGAAAAGAAGAACTTAGAATCCCCCAAGTCAGCCACACCAGCATTAAAATCTTACCCCTCTAATAGCTTTCCCAGCACAGCAACTTGTGTAACCTCCATTCTTCCAAACCATTTGCACCCCAGTAGTGAGCCATTGCTGCTGGGGAACCAGACTGCAAGCTTGGAATTTGTGCTTTGGTTAGGGTAATGTGGGTGAGGCTGGGTACCTCTGACTCATCCCCTGCCTTACCTGTGTGGCTGGCAGGTACTGGAAGATGCTCGCAGAGATGCTGACTTGCACCACGTGGCTTGTAATATGGTGAAAAAACCTGGCAGCATTTACTATCTTTACCAGCGGGAAAGTGGCCAGCAGTACTTTTCCATCATTTCTCCAGAGGTAAGAACATTCATTCTTAACTGCAGACCAGCTCCAGCCTTTGAGAAATGCTGGGCATGTTTGTATGAAAATGTAGCCTGCAGCTTGGTCAGTGGTTTCCTAGAAAGTGAAGTGATGTGAGCCCCGATATGATGAAAAGTTGTGTGTGTGCTTGAATGATATTCTCTCCTTTTTTCTTTGTTTTTGTTTTTCAAGACAGGGTTTTTCTGTGTAACAGTCCTGGCTTTCCTGGAACTCACTTTGTAGACCAGACTTGCCTCAAACTCACAGGGATCTGTCTGCCTGGCTCTGTCCCCCAAGTGCTGGGATTAAAGGCGTGCGCCACCACCTTTATAATAAATACTCATTATTTCTGATGTGTAATATAACTTCCAATGATGGTTTGAGTAGTCTGAAGTGAAAAGCATAAACAGAAGTCTATATTGAGAAAGAGCCCTGTTCACTTCTCATCCTGATGAGGATTGCTCCTTTGCCCTCTAGGAATGGGGAGCAGGCTGTCCACATGACTTCCTCGGTGCCTACAAGCTGCAACATGACTTGTCGTGGACTCCATACGAAGACATTGAGAAGCAAGATGCTAAAATTGGCATGATGGACAAGCTGCTGAACCAGCCCATGGCCTTGCCCCCATGCACTGAACCCACCTTCCAGGGACTAACTCACTGAGTGTGGCTCTGAGGAACAGTGCTCATGACAAAGGCCTGACCAACACCAACCATCTCCTTGTCCACATTCTCTTCCTTGTGTGTGTGTGTGGCTCATGGGGACTTTGGGTTTTGGGGTGAGTCATGAACTTCTTGGAGGAAAGCCTGGTGAATGTAGACATTCACCAGGTAAGGATGGTGAATGGAATCGCTGAACTCCTGTGGGATCTTCCTGGGCCCACTGATGCCCAGTCACTCGGTTTCAGAGGATTAGCTAGTGCTTTCCTTCACCTCAGCACTGGGGAAGGAAGAATTCTCTCCCCACAACAAGCTGCTGGGTCATGTTCCTGTCTTTTGTGTCAGGTTGGTATTGAAGCTGTCTACGTAGGTGCTGTGCCAATTTAAGGTTGATTCAGGAATTGCAGTGTTGCCTATGGAGGATTAAAAGAAACAGACAACTTGGCGTGGCTGGGTGAGGGTGCTGATTCTAGAGCTTCAGTCCTCACAGCGTCCTTCTGGTTCGCCCTTCTGCCCTTCCTGCCTAGTGAGAGTGACTGGAGACTGAGGCAGCCATCCTAAACCTCACAGATGCTTAGGGCTGGAAGAGGTCGCAAAGGCTGCTACTGTCTGAGCCCACTCTGAAGCCTCCTTAGGACAGCCTGAGCTCAGCACCCCGCAGGACAAACCCACCAAATGGCATTTTTAAGATAGAGTGTGGAAGGGCTGGAGAGGGGTCAGCAGTTCAGGGTGCTTGCGGCTCTGCTAGAGGGCCCGAGCTCCGTTCCGAGCACCCATGTTGGACAGCTCACAACTACCCCGTTTTTTTGTTGTTTTTTTTTTTTGTTTGTTTGTTTTTAATTTTTTTCGAGAGAGGGTTTCTCAGCAACTATGGAGTCTATCCTGGAACTCGCTCTATAGACCAGACTAGCCTCGAACTCACAGAGTTCCTCCTGCTTCTGCCTCTTGAGTGCTGGGATTAAAGGTGTGTGCCAACACCGCCTGGCCCACTTGTAGCTCTTAACTCCAGAAGATCTCATAACACTTGATTTCCATGAGCCATCCAGACACCCAGATATACATATTCATACATTTAAAATCTTTTCAAAAAGAGACTGGAAGAGAGTAGAGCAGTGGGGGTGAAAACAAGAAAAACCACTCACCTGTCCATAGATTGTGGCTTGACTGGGATTATTTATTTATAGGTTTTCTGTAGCCCAGGTTAGCCTGCAGCTGACTAGCACAGGCTAACCTTGATCAATGTGATAATCCTGCCTTAGCCTCCCTAGTGGACTGAACCATCACACCTAACATGTTAACACTGATTGAAACTCATTTTTATTGCTTACTGAATAAGTCATGAACTGCAGAGGGACCGGGGATGTAGCTTAATGTTAGCATGTTTACATAGCATGTATGAAAATGTTTACACAGCATGCATCAGGCTCTGGTTCCATCTCCAGTACTGCAGACAAACAGTACCGAATGGGGCCTTTTGTGCCCAAAACTCTTATGGACTTTTTTGGATTCTACCTCGTTTCAATTTATAGCATAAGCAGAGTGACTGCTTCTTCATTGCAGTGTCGTCTACTGTAATGTGTTCTAAAGAACGTGAGGAATATGTACTGGAGCCCACAGGCCCAACTTCGGGTATATACTGTCTTGGTGTTTACAGCTTCCCTTATGAACAGTGCACCTTGTGAGCTAGAAGTGGTCCATGCCTAGCACAAGAAGAAGCCGAAATCTAGCAAGGAACATGGCCATTCTGTTCACACAGAACTGTCTTGTGTGAGCTGTGGAAAGCCCCTCGATGGGAAGCTGCAGTCCTGGTAGACTTTCCTGGGGTGTTTTGGATCCTGACTCCGGAATGTTGCCCAGGTCTTGAGGAGTTTCTGACCTGGTGGTAATGATGGTTTTGAGTAGTGCGTAGTTTGTAAGGAGGTAAGCATTGTCGCAGGGCTAGTGGTTTAAGCGACACTCACTCGTGGTTTCACTGTCTTCAGCCTCAGGGTTTCTTTGGTACTGCAAGGCTGTAATCAGGTTTTTGACTAGGGCTGGATTCTCTGGGCCTTACTATCTGCTTCCAAGCTCACGATTTTGGCAGAATTTTGGTTCATTGGAGATTGCTGGGCTACCTGCTAATGGATAGATAGAGGTCTCCCTCAGCTTCTTGCCACAGGTGTCCCTGAAAACATAGGTGCACTCTGCATCAGAAAGGATGGAGCTCACGAGCAGAACGGAGGTTCCAGCCTGTGGAGTCGCACCTCAGAAATGCCATTTTTGCTGTATTGTCTAGAAGTCAGTCTCTAGGCCAGCCTACATTTAGGGGAGAGCATCACACAGGAGCGAGGAGATCAGGAGGCAGAGATCAGTGTTGAGACAGGAAAGGTAACCGGTTTTGGGTAAAAGGCGATTGTGGTTGGATGGTGTTGATACCACGGATCTGGACTGCACACAGCACTGGCAGAATAACCTCCTGGATACATTCCGGTTCCCTCTATCTTTCTCAGATCCTTTGGCGTGCAGTATCACGCTGAATCACTGAAAATGTAGATTTCTCTCGCTTTTGGTATTTCCAACAGCGAGCTGCGCCTGGAGATCAGTGGTTTCCAAAAACTTCTTGTCCAAGAAGATGTACTTCCCATTTTGGCCACCAGGTAGTGCCAGTGCTCTTACCTGGTTAATCTGCCTGGCTGAGGGATGACGAATGGGGGATTAGGGCCAATGAGTGCATGCAGCAGCTACTCTCCGACAGCCCTCATCCCTCTGTCCTGGTGATTTCCTAAGCACCAAGTGCCTTCTCATTCCCAGGTTCTAGAGGATTATCTCAGCACAGGGCCCTGTTTCAAAGAAGCACACAGTCTGCTAGGGGAACAAGCAGATTAGCAATTACAACGTGGTTCAAGGACTTAGTGGAGGTATGCATAGGCCATTGTAGAATACAGGAAGACTTCCAGTGTATGGGAGGCTTGTCTTTTGGGGCTTAGGGAGGGTCTTTTTGGGTGGAATTTATTGGATATGCTCTTAACCTCATCAAGCAAAGTCATCCTGGTCTTTCCAAGGGGTGTGGTAAGACTGTCCTGGCTAGAAAACTAACTAAAGAGGTCAGTGCCAGGAAAAGGAATGCAGTTGACAAAAATAACATGAAGGGCGTTGATGGCAGCCTGGCCGCTTTGGAAGTACAGCAGCTGAAGTGAACGCTGGCTGGGGCGATGGGCAGGAACCAAGGTCTGTACTACTGGACTCGAAGTCAGCTAGCAGCACTGGAGTGTGAGGTGCCAGCTTGTGTCAGTTGTACAGTGGAATTAATTCCTCTGTGTTTATATATCCGGAATTCGAGTGCTCCTAGAAGTCACTGGCCTGTTACTTTGTTTTTTTTTTTGGGGGGGGGGGAGAATCTGGGCACATATGCAGATACCCGCAGAGGCTAGAGATATCAGACTTCGCAAGAGCAGCACGCACTCACCACCCACTGAGCCATCTCTCCGATTCCCTGTTTGGTTTTGACTTCTCCCCTTAGAGTTACATAACAGTGGTGTGACTTAGAGTGAGCACCGCCTGATGTGATGATGCATAGCATGTTGAAGTGCGATAGACTGCTACCTTGTTAGCTAATAAAATGTGAGGACATGCGTGAGAGGAGGGGATCTTGGGCAGTTCTTGAATTTCTGGTTAAAGTGTGTTGATCCACTCAACAAAATGTGGAAGAGAAAGACGTGGGGTATTTACCAGAGACCACTTGGACGTGGGTTTAAGCCAATATAAAGTCTTATTAGCCCGCTGGTGACTACACTGGCTATTCAGGGATCCCAATGTACCCTCAAGCCTTTCTCTGGGTGACCTTTCAAGTACAAAATCCATGTCCTGGGTTGACATCAGTTAACAAGCTTAGTCAGCCAGAAGCAGAGCTACAGAAGCCAAAATGGAAAGTTAGTGCATTTAGAGACTTTCTCAGAACTATGGACTTTGATGGATTAGGTCTTTGTTTTCATCTTGGTAGATGGTGCTATCTACATGTTTTATAGCCTGAATGGATACTTCCATCATGGAGTCAGTTGTGCTAACATCTGGGACCCTGTTACAGACATTCTGATATTTTCTAGCGTAAATAGTTTCTTTTTTTTTTCTTTCTTTTTTTTTTTTTTTGATTTTTCGAGACAGGGTTTCTCCGTAGCTTTTGGTTCCTGTCCTGGAACTAGCTCTTGTAGACCAGGCTGGCCTCGGACTCACAGAGATCCGCCTGCCTCTGCCTCCCGAGTGCTGGGATTAAAGGCGTGCGCCAACACCGCCCAGCTCTAGCATAAATAGTGATCTGTATTTGCTTCAAGAATCTACCTTGCTGACTCTGCCCAGGCTTACTGGGTAGCCACTGACTGAGCGCCTCTCCACCCCAGGGGTCTGGAAGGAGGCCTTACTTGTGTATTTACCTTCTCAAGACTTGTTCCCCAAACATGGATGATACTAGCCATAGATGAAGAGATGATGCTGTCTAGGGAACTTTAGTTCTATCAGATGTTCCCTTTATCTGATTTAATCTTCATGTGGCCCAACACCCAGGAGGTCTGAGCAGGAGCATTTCCAGTTCAGAACGTGGCTCCTGGCTATTCAGATAGCAGTGATAAGGTCAAAGCAAGGCTGTGTTTGCTTTGAGTCCAGTGATAACCACAGTCATAGCCACCTAGGTCACGTTTACCCCAGCAGTGTTCTAGAGCTCTACAGAGGTGACATACACACGGAGTTTGGCCAGTGTGGGATGCATGCATGTCTCTAGTACACACCTGTACTCAGAGCCTAGAAGGCTGAGGCAGGAGTCTGGATGCCAGTTTCAGACTAGTTTGCACAGCAACAAGGGAGCGTCTGTTTTGAAGAAGTGAAAAAAGGTGTATGGGGAACTGGGGGGATAGGTAATAAAATACTTGTTGCAAAAACAGGACCTGAATTTGATCCTCAGCATCCACATTGAAAAATCTGGGCATGGGGGATGGAGTGATGGCTTGGTAGTTAAGAGCACTGGCTGCTCTTCCGGAGGACCCAGGTTCAATTCCCAGCACCCACATGGCAGCTCACACCTGTCTGTAGCTCCAGTTCCAGGGGATCTGACACCCTCTCATGCAGGCAAAACACCAGTGCACATAAAATTGAATTTAAAAAATCTGGGCATGCCGGGCGGTGGTGGCGCACGCCTTTAATCCCAGCACTTGGGAGGCAGAGTCAGGTGGATCTCTGTGAGTTCGAGACCAGCCTGGTCTACAAGAGCTAGTTCCAGGACAGGCTCCAAAACCACAGAGAAACCCTGTCTCGAAAAACCAAAAAAAAAAAAAAAAAAAAAAAAAAAAAAAAAAATCTGGGCATGGTCACACATGCTTGTAATCTCAGTGCTGGCAGGATGGAGTTCACTGACGAGCCTACCTAGCCTAGTTGGTGGATCTCAGCCAACCCCCCCCCCAAAAAAAAAACCCACAAGGTGGACAGCCTTTCTGAGAATGTGTACATACACTCAGCCTCCAAAATCAAATAAAAGCACGATGAAAGTGTGAGCTACTGTGGGAAGCGCTCACTCAGTGTTCAGTGTCTGGCACGTAGAGGAGGTTAGCCATGGCCAGAGAAGTAATTTCCCCAACAATATACTATGCATAAACAACTGAACCATGTCTCTGGCATCCACCATGTGTGCCGAAGGTAAGTTTGTTTCGGAAGGAGCTGGTGCTTAGAGTGCCTGCCTGGAGAAACTAGACTTGGATGGTTGTAAACATTTGATTCAGTGGGGCCGCTCACTACTTGAAAGTGTGTCAGAACCCATCCAGGTAGAAATCAGCTGGGGGTACCCTGGGAAGGGGCACTGAGGCTGGGGCTCCCACAAAAGTGCTTGTCCTCATCTAGATTTGGAATATTGTCTTATCCTGATCTCTTTTACTTTACCTTTTCTGAATCCAAACTTCCTCTGGGGCCAGGTTCTTGGCACTTTCTCCCTCCTGCATGTTCTAACCCATTCCCATGCCTTAGCGTCCTTAAGCTGCCAGCTCACACGTTCCAGGCTCCTATCTGTGTTCTGTTCATGCACATTTGTCCTGCTGCTATACTTGACCTCTACTTGACTCAGTCATTACAAACTTAATGTGTCCACAGGAACTATCTGTTTACCCCGAAGCCTTTCACATCCTCGGCATTCCCACGGTCACCTATCTCACGTTATTTAGTTCACAAAAGCTACGCTAACCTTTATTCCATTTGCCCTCCGCATGCCAATCAGCTCTGCTTTTAAAATACATCCCCACATCTGACCCCCTTTTCCCTTGGTCCAAGCCACCTACATATCTAGCCTAAAGCAGTAGTTTCCTGGTGGGTCTCCTTGCTTCCTTCCCCACCCTGAGCGTTTCCACAGAGACCATCAGCAGCATCCTTTATCGCTAGCAGTATCCCAACATCTGTTTCAAAACATCCCCAGGCTCCGTGTGACCCTCCACAGAGACTGCAGAGGGCAGTGGTGTTGACTGCACTTGTAGCATGATCTTGCTAGCCCTCCACCCTCCCAATTCTGACTCCTGCCTGTTTTAGTTTAGAGACACCCAGGTCTGACTTTAGTGTCAGATTCTTTTCTGGTCTCAGCTCTGCAAGTTTTTATTTTAATGTTAGGTGCTAGGGATTAAGTCTAGGGCCTTCGAATACACTGAGCAAGTGCTTATAATAAGCCTACAATCCCCAACCCAGATGGGGTTGGTTAGAACCAACAGTAAATGAACTTGTTGATCCACCATTTCCTTGACTGGCAGGGCCAGTCTAAGACCCAGGGAAATACCATGGATGGCCTCCAGCCCAGTGTCTGATGGCCTCTGGGCTCAGTTAGGTCCTCTGTCCCTTGCTGATTGTTGTGTCACATGGCCTCTTAGCCCCACCCTTTCTATTGCATATTCTTTGGGCTCTGGATACTCCTGCTGGTGTACTTTGTCCTTAGTGTGGAGTAGATGTGGGACAGGTAAGGGTGGACCCTACTTAGAACATCGTTCAACATTGTTTCTTTCCAAGGCTGAGTGTCTCACACCTGTAATCTCAGTACTTGGGAGACTGCAGCAGGAGGATCACACGAGTACAAGGCTAGCCTCAGCTATGTAGTTTCAGGTTAATCTTGTCTACAGTGTGAGACAGTGTCTTAAAACAAAGACAAAGAATGAAGGCTTGTGTCCTTGTTCAGGGCCTTCCTCACACTCTTAGGGTTCCTCTCACACTGGCTGCCTCCCCATTCCCTGACATAGCTTCCGTCTTACTACCTCCTTTCTTTACAGTGACTACCAGAACCACCTTTCTGAAAGAACCTGGCCTAAAAACATTGTCTTCATTCTTGGGCCCCAGTTCCTCAGGTCCTCATCCCTCTTAGAAATGTTATTACATGTCTACACCGCCTCGTAGGTACAAAGAACCAGTCCTTTGAAAGGCCATACCTGCTCGGAGCTCTCATGGGGCTCTTCATCATGTAGATCCCAGACTGCTTTTTATAGTCCTTCAGCTCACTCCCAGCCCACTTCCAATCCCAGGCACTCAACCAGCAGGGGTCTCTGCACTAAGCGGAAGCCCTCAGTGAATGATGGTTTTATCCAGCGGATAGAGAAAGCAGACCCCTCCCCCTGAGAGTCCGCCATGCCCCGCCCCTAGAGGCCCACAGCAAGATCTGTAAATTGAGGCGCTGGTACCTCTTGCCCTAAGACTCCTCAGCCCCTCCCCTGACCTCGGGATTGTGAGCTAAGAGCCAGGCTAAGAGACTGGACCCACATCCACGCACCCTTGCCTGGGCTGGACCCCTCCGCCTCAACAGCAGCAGGAAGGAGTGCTGCGGGGCTCCAGCCCCACCTAGGAATGTCTGATCCCCAGGTGAGCTTTCCCGACTGACATGGAGCTGGTTGGGCAATAAAGAGGTACTGGGACATCAAGCCAGCCAACCCCTCGTCATCCCACAGAATTAGGTTTAACGGGGTTACCCGGACAACCCAAGGGGAAGCTGGCGAGAGAGCAGTGTTGTGTCCTGTTCTCAAGCGGGCAGGTTTCTGCAGGAGATGGCCTCTGGCCTCCAGGGAAGGGGTGGCAGTGTGCGTGATGAAGAAGGACAAGAGACACCACTGCTGGAAAATATACCTTCATCCTCACCGGCCACTCATGGTGCCTGGTGAGGGAACCCTTCTCCTCACTTATTCCTCTTTCTAGAAACCCACAGTCATGTGAACTTTGCGACTTCGGCGCTGCGGTTTGACCTTCAGTTTCCGTTCCTCAATTTCTTACCAATCTTCCTTCCATTTCCTTCCCAGACATCACAGGGCTGGCCCACAGCCACCTCAGGGAGGGCGCCAGCTTAGACCTCACCAACTTGATCTTCAGTCACCCGGCTTTGGGGAGCCAGGACCTTACTGTATTTTTAATTCTCTTTGGCAATAAACCCTCCCCCATCCTTAGAGATCCTGATAAATGTCACCACGTTGTCGATATCCTCCCTTGGCCTTGCCTCAAACTTGGTCTTTGCTTCCCGGTATACCCAGGGCAACTGGAACATGCCCTACTTACACGTAACATGTCTCTTCAAGCTCCTCGTACATGGAGACTGTATCTTCCAAGGGCAGCACACAGGTCTTGTTCTATTTACCAAAAAGACAAAGTCTAGCCTAGAGAGGCATCGGAAAGAATAAGTGAACAATAAGGATTGAGCTGAAGGGGATGTGTGTGTGGGGGGGTCTTCATCAAAAATGGCTTCTTGGAGGCCTCAACGAAGAGGGCTAGATTCTGAGTACATTAGATCCGTGCAGCTACAGGACCTAAGTGGTGTATTAACTAACATTGAGCTCTTTTATTGTTAGGCCTCATGCTTGGCACAGGGGACCCTAGTCTGCACTCAAGTTGTGTCCCCTCTAGGAAAAAAGGAAGACAAGGTAGGCGAAGCCAGTACAGAATGCCAGGTGTTGCACGGTGAGCACAAGAACTCTTCCAAGATAAGCATTTATAGGCTCTGTGGGCTGTTAGGAGGCTCCTCAAAGAGGACCAACCCAAGACCTAAGAATGGACCCCAGAGAAGGGTTTCAGCAGGGCTGGAGAGGGGAAGCTAGAGAGCTAAGCAGGGCTGGGCTCCACAGAGGGATTCAAGAACCTGGCATATGACCGAATCTGCTTGGGGCAGATTCTACCCCTCCTCTGAAAGCCTCCCCGAGGCAGGCCAGTTCCTTTCGGTGCTCATGTGGTCCTGTCTCTTCTTCCATGCTGGGTTGCATCCTCTGCTTGACTATTCCTTGAGAGATCAGTTCACAGTCATCTCTGTGTCCGCAGCACCAAGCATCAGATTTGCTCCTAAACACGTATCCTGCTGTAGGAGTGAGTAGATTATTCCCTCTTTCTGGGGACTTAAACTGCCCTTCTTCTCAAATCCCCATTCTTTTGCTCCTGGGACCTGTGTATAGTTTTTTTTTTTTTTATTTTTTTCGGATTTTCTAGACAGAGTTTCTCCGTAGCTTTTGGTTCCTGTCCTGGAACTAGCTCTTGTAGACCAGGCTGGCCTTGAACTCACAAGTGCTGGGATTAAAGGCGCGCCACCACAGCCCGGCCTGGTTTTTTTTTTTTTTCTTAAGATTTATTTATTAAGTATACAGTGTTCTGCCTGTATGCATGCCTGCAGGCCGAAAGAGAGCACCAGATCTCATTACAGATGGTTGTGAGCCTCTATGTGGTTGCTGGGAAATGAACTCAGGACATTTGGAAGAGCAGGCAGTGCTCTTAACCACTGAGCCATCTCTCCAGCCCCACCTGTGTGTAGTTTTTACAAATCACATTTAACCAAGAAAGGGGAGACCCAGTTCAAGTCCTGGCCCCACCTTTTCTGAGACAAGCCCTTTCCTATTTGGAAGGCTCACTTTGCCATCTGTAAAATTGCGTGCTTGTGTCTCATTTCTCTAGACCAGTGGTTCTCCACTGCCTAAAGCTGCGACCCATTAATATAATTCCTCATGTTGTGGCGACCCCAACTATAAAATTATTTTTGTTGTTACTTCATACTGTGATTTTGCTATTATGAATCATAAATATCTGATATGCAACCCCTGTGAAAGGGTTATTTAACCCCCTAGAAGGGTCACGATCCACAGATTGAGAACCACTGTTCTAGACAGACAGACTGACTGATTGTTCTTTGAAGGCAGCGGCCCAGGGGTTCACTTAGCTTAGACTAAGCATAGGGCTTGAGAAACACTCCTGTTTGCTGACAGACGGCAGAGTACAGAGAACACTCAAGGCAGAACTGAGCCCCATCCTGTAACTTCCAAGTGACTGCTCCCAAGGCTTTCCTCTCTCTGTTGTGTTTGCCTTCCTTGGGATATATAAGCAGGGATGACAGCCCTTGCCAGACTGAGCTCACAGGACCAAAGGGGATCCCAGGTGTCCAATGCTCTGTGGACGGGATAGACAGTACAGCAGGTGACTGATCATTAATTAGGGCTAAAACATCTGTGAATTAGCACAAATGAGGCAGCGTCTGTTGGAAGACTGGCCATCTGCTCACCTGCCCTGAGCGGCAGAGACAGAGTTGCTGTTCTTCAAGACGATGGTAGGTGGACTGGCAGGTGACCAGGGCCTGGCCCAGGCACTGAGTATCCAGTCCTGCAGGGCTTGGCTGCCTCGAAACAGGAGAGATGGCTGTGGAGATTGACGGAGTGGGGTGGTGCAGCCCAATCTCCCTTTCACTCCCAGCTTTCCCAGTCTTACATCATTTCCTGTCTTAGGTGTTAATCCCGATGGCTTTGGTCACACAGTTGCTGATTTGGGTGACTGAGGCTGCCTATGGGAACAACAAGCCCTTCAGTGATGCCTTAGGATATTCCAGTCCCAGACCCAAGTCCAGCCCCTTGTAGCACTGGACATCTTGGTGGCAGTTTTTTTTTTCTTCTTTTTTTAAAGATCATAGTTTGTCTCAATCCCCCTTTTATATTGATTTTATTTATTTATTTATTTGAGACAGGACTCACTATGTAGCTTTGTTTGTCCTGGATATTCATGATGTAGACCAGGCTGGCCTCGAACTTACAGATCCACTTGCCTCTGCCTCCCAGATGCTAGGAATAAAGATGTGTGCAGCCACATCTGGTCTTGTTTCAATTCTTGCTCAGACCTTAAGGGCTGGGAAGTGTCTAGAGGACCTGTTTGGAGGCCAAGCCTGAGCCTCGAAATGAGTGAAGGATTTAAGAGAAAATGAATGCGAGAAGGAGAATTACTCATACATCTCAAGGGTAGGGCTACTCTGTGTGACTGATGTATTTATCCCAATAGTGGGGCTTGTCTGTCTCAGAGAGGACACAAACGGTTGATGTATAAGGAGCACATGTGTTTGGGCATAGTGTAAAAACAAAGTCAAGACTGTGAAGATGGATAGCCCAGCTGGTTCTCTGCTGCTGTGAGAGATGCCATGGTGGTCAAAGGCCTGGCCGTGGCCTGTGCTGGCATGCAGAGGCTATCTGGTAAGGCTATCCCAGTGACCTCCTCAGGTCTAGCCCCCAAACCACCTCCTGCTGTGGCCAGAAACAGCAGCAGATGAGGATCAAGCAGCGGGGTTTGCTTCTACTAACTTACTGTGTGACATTGAGCAGATGTTGCCAATTTGCTGAACTTGAGGTTCTTCATTCATAAACTAGGGGAAGAAAGAGTATACCCTTTAAATTAGCCCAGACCAGAGGACAGAACAGTGGACGGTGCTGGGGAGACACTGAATGCTGCCACATCCATTCTGTGGAGCTGATTTCCTTCTCTGTTGGAGATGGGACCAGTGTTGTGGTGTGCTCTGAGGTCTCTGAGGGAGTGGCATAGCCTCTCTTAGTCAGCCATTAATCTATGACGAGCCCTATCTCTCAGATGGAGGCCTCTGAGGCATCAAAAGGCTCCTGGGAGGATGTTTGTGCCATGGGACCAGGGAGGATGGGATGACCATGCGCGTTTACCTGCCCTACTGCTGAGCTTATCTCTGGTGTCTCCTTGCTAACTTGTATTCTCAATCAGTGAGATAGGATGTGGAGAGGCAGTTCTGGGATGGGGTCTCTGAGAACTCTCTCAAGACCCCTTGACCTTGGGAACCCTGTGCACCTCTCTCCTGGGCCACAGGTCAGCAGATCTTGAGCCATGAGCAGACCATTCCTCAGGTGGCGGAACTTTCCTGGAAGGATGTTATTAATGCCTTGTCCCTGGCCAACATGGTCCTGGGGCTCTTCTCCATCTTCTGCAGCTTCAGCAGGTAGGTCTGGGGCACAGCCTGCTCTTAGCCTGAGGAAGGGGAGGCAGACTCGAAAGTGGCTAGGCCACTGTGGCTGAAAGATCTACTTGGGGATGGGGATAGTATACTAGTTTCAAAGCCAGGATCATGGCCTTCATGTTGCTACCTTTCTGGTAAGTGACTTCATCTCGGTTCATCTCTGAGGCTCGGTCTCCTTTTGTACCATGAAGAGTTTGTGTTATAATTAATCTTCCTTGTTCCTTCAAGCTTTAGCAGTTCAGAATGGCTGTAGGAGAAAAAAAAGATGCATAGTAGTATTTATAGGCCCTTCCCCAACCTCTTTCCTCTCCCTAATTGAACCCAGGATGGTCTTGAACTCACTATGTGGCTTAGGATGGCCTTGAACTTCGGATCCTTCTGCTTCCACCTCCCAAATTGTAGGTGAGTCACCTCACTTGGCTTCACTCATATTTTCTGGCTCTTGAATGAGAACATACGACTTGAATATCCAACATTAGCACTGTTCTGGAGATTGTCCTACTTAAGGTGCCACCAAGAAAGCAGGAGCAGTTTATGTTCTTGTAAGTTGGGTTCTATTTCGAGGCCTTTGGCAGCTCAGTTCTTTAAAGGAAACTTTCTGACGCACTCCTTGTGTGTCTGATTCTCCAGGACCAGCATGTAGCTTCTTTCTGTATCTGTTTTTTTTTTTTTTATTATGTATACAATATTCTGTCTGCGTGTATGCCTGCAGGCCAGAAGAGGGCACCAGATCTCATTACAGATGGTTGTGAGCCACCATGTGGTTGCTGGGAATTGAACTCAGGACCTTTGGAAGAGCAGGCAATGCTCTTAACCACTGAGCCATCTCTCCAGCCCCCTCTGTATCTGTTTTTCATCCATGAACTTGAAATCTAATAAGCGGAGAATGCACATCTGTGGTAGGAAAATCTCAGTTTAGCCAAATCCGCTGAGAGGGTAATTTTGTGTTATGATTGTAGGTTCTGTTATTTTCGTTTAGCCTCAGGTCCCTTTAGAACTCAGTTGTAGTCTAAACAAATGTTCAAGTTGTTTGGGGATGGCTGAGGTCAGAGGTCAGGCTCTCTGCTTCTGCTGGGTCACCTAAGCATCGTAATGCAGTGCAGGGTTGGCAGTAGACCTCCGTGGGCAGGTTCCTTTTGGACTGTGTGGCCGCTCACAAAGGGACCATATGGGAGCATCTCATGATGGATGAGGTGCAATGAGGAATGTGAGAGGATGTGGGAGACACTGATGGATCCTTGCCACACACGCACCAAACCCAGGAGACCTTGGCAGACACTGGCAGATACTACAGGTGGAAATGTCAACACCTATCGCTCATCCACAGAAAATCAGCAAGTATATTCATCTTGGCCACACCCTCCCATGTCTGGCTGTGGCTGACAGCTGCAGACACTTTGTCCAAGAACAACAGAATGCATAGGATTCTCAGGCTGTCTTAGAGGGTCTGTCTGCATTCTAGCCTATGACTAGAAGTCATAAAGAAGGTGATCTCAGGCCAAATGGAATTAATCTAAAGCTCAGAAATGGAAAGAACACGCAAACCCTGACCAGGGATAGCTCATGGAAAAGCATTTGCCTGGAATGTGTGAGGCCCGAGCTTCAGTCTCCAGTACTGAAGAAGAAAAAACAAAAAGTACCAGATGGTTAACATTGTAGGAAGGCCAGAATTTAGTTAGATATGGTGGCATAAAATTGTAATCCCTGAACTTGGGAGGTGGAGGCAGGAGGATCCAAAGTTTGGGGGAGATCTCTCAGGCAATAAAGTGCTTGTGGCCCAAGCATGAGGGCCTGCATTCAGTTCTGAGCAGCCATGGAAGAAAGCTGAGCACAGTGCTGTGCCCTCAGGATCCCAGTGCTGGAGAGGCAGAGATTCTGGGGGGCTCACTGGCTATCCAGCCTTGCCCCACCGAGTCCCAGGTCTCACAGAGAAACCCTTCAGGGTCAGAGGCTCCTGAAGAACAGGTGTCTCAGTTACCTTCTCTGTTGCTGTCGCAAAACTCCGTGACAGGCAACTTAGGAAAGACAGCATTTAGCTGGGGTTAGTCCATGGCGGCAGAACAAAGGCAGGCGGCAGAAGCAGTTGAGGGTACGTGTCTTGATCTGAAAGCCAGAGGCAGAGAGAGTGACATTGAGAATGGCAGGAGTCTTTTGAAACCTCAAGGTCTGTCCCTGTGACACAGCTTCTTCAGCAAGGCCACACCTAATCCTTTCCAAACACTTCCACCGACTGGGGACCGAGTATTTGAATGTGTGAGCTATGGGGGACATTCTCATTCAAACCACCCCAGAATGAAAGAAAGGAAAGGAGAGGAGGGGAGAAGAGAAGACAGGAGAGGACATAGCACAAATCCTTCATTTCATGAGTGGAGAAAGAGACACAGACAAACAGTAATTTATCTGAAGAGCCACAGGGGGATAGTGGTAGAGGCTGCACTAGGAACGAGGAAGGAGCCTGTGCTGTCACATACGTTGAGGCTTAAGAATTGGAAGGAGCTGGGTGGTGGTGGCGGCGCACGTCTTTAATCCCAGCACTCAGGAGGCAGAGGCAGGTGGATCACTGGATTTGAGGCTAAACTGGTCTACAGAGCGAGTTCCAGGACAGCCAGAGCTACACAGAGAAACCCTGTCTCGAGACACCCTCCCCCACTAAGAAAGAAGAGTTGGAAGGGACTTTGGTGATTACTGGAGGGTTTGGGGTGTCGGGGAACTTCTTTAAACTATTGGTTGGGGCTGAAAAGATGGCTCAGTGGTTAAGAGCACTGGCTGCTTTTCTAGAGGACCTGGGTTTGCTTATCCACACCCACATGGTGTGGTTTACAGTCGTTTGTAACTCCATTCCCATGAGATCCCACATCTTCTGATCTTCACGGGCAGTGTATTGAATGTGCATATGCAAAAACAACTCAGACACATAACACTTAAAGAATTATAAAAAGACTATGTATTGGGAGTTTGGGAGGGATAGAGCCATCTACGAGGGGGTGAGTAAAACACTCAGAGCAGTGTATGCCGGAAGGGAAGTGAGTGAGCGAAGCGTAGGCATTGAGTGTGCGCTTGTCCAGTGGGGACTACAAGAAGCTGCCCTGCTGGCCTGCACTCTAGGAAATCCCTCTGTGCTTCCTGGATGCTTTTGATCAGCTTCCTGTTAGACATGGCAGTAGGGACGATGATCAGGCACCTCCACATCTGCCACAAATTAGGTGAGTTCAACCTTGGGGCCCTCTAATCCCTACCCTGGGGGAGCATCCATCTCAGGCTACTACCGTCCATCCCTCTGACACCAGTCACCCCAATTGTTCACATGCCAATAGAGGAAGCCATCCTGCCCCAGGAGTGAGGCTGTCTGCAGCCTGGACCCTTCTCCTGGGCTGGATCTATCTCCTGGGCTGGACCCATCTCCTGGGCTGGACCCTTCTCCTGGGCTGGACCCTTCTCCTGGGCTGGACCCATCTCCTGGGCTGGACTCATCTCCTAGGCTGGACCCATCTCCTGGGCTGGACCCTTCTCCTGGGCTGGACCCTTCTCCTGGGCTGGACCCTTCTCCTGGGCTGGACCCTTCTCCTGTGCTGGACCCATCTCCTGGGCTGGACCCTTCTCCTGGGCTGGACCCTTCTCCTGGGCTGACTGGCTTCCCCATCTTAGCCCCGCCCTCACCCCTCTGCTCCAATCCCATTTCCTCTTCTTTTGGTTTATGCGATTTTGCTAAGGATTCTGGTCTTGTTTATACTCTGTAGTACATTATTATGGTTATTGTGAGTTTTATGAGGTAAGATTTCACTTGGAGTTAATCAAGCATTTTCTTTGCTGTTGATCCTTTCCTGCCTTCCAAGTGTTCCCTGGGGTCACCTTCATTCTTAGTGAGGAAGATGCGCTGTAGATTTATTAGTGAAGTGAAGGGGATGATGAAGGTCAGTGAGAGGATGAGAGACATCCCCAGGCAAAGCAGCTGGTTCAAAATACTTTGAGATGTTTCCATATAAGGTTTTTCCTGAAAAAGGTCCTGAGGCTTGTGAACTTAGGTGCTAAGCCTTGCATATTGAGTGGCAAGGACCAGCAGAGAGATAGCTGGGAGTGGGGGGACGACCCAGGCTTTGGTCTACAGACCATCTTTAGGGAGCAGCTGCTGCCCTCTGAGACCCCAGCACCCCAGCTGTCCCTGCTCCAGCCACCCAAGAGAGGCTGGGGTGTAGACTGCATGCCTGTGAGTGAACCCTGACCTCTGAAGCAGGACTTGAACTGAACGACTTCGCTGTCTTCACCACCTTTGGCCTGGCCTCGGCTCTGCTCCTTGGTGTGGATGGGCCTCTGAATGGGTTCCTGGCCATCATCTATGTGTTAACCACTTCCTTCCGCCTGTGTTTTTACTCAACTGGTGAGTGGAACCCAGTCTATCTCAGGACTGTGATAGGGATCAAGGGGCAGGAGAAACTGCTGGGAGCCAGAAGCTAGGGGACACTCATGGACTCCTCCTCCTCCTCCTCCTCATGAGTCCCACGCTTGCTGGAGGTTGAGGGCTGTATTGTCTGGGAGAAACAAGTCCTTGCTTCTTCAGGAGTTATATCTCTTCTGTACTATATCTGTATAGTAGACACACTCCAGAAATGGAGTTCTAGAGAACTCCAGTTCCCCCAAACAAAAGAAGCTGTGGTAGTGAAGACAGCTCGAAAGACCACACAGAAAGGGGGTACAAACCCAGCATTGAGCTTAGCCTGGCCTTCCAAGGACCTGTTAAGGTATGGGCACACCGAGTATATCTGATTGCCTGCTGTCCCCCAGAAACCAGTCCAAACCTGTGCAGCATCAGCTTGTAATAACCAAATGACCTACATACTCCTCCCCACCCCTGGGCTAAGGGAATCTGGTAGCTCAGGGAAAGAAGACCCAAATTGATAGGTGTCCTTGGAGCCAGGAAACAGCTCATTCTCTGATCTCTCCCTAGAAGGAGGTCCCTCTACATACAAAGGTCTACCTTGTCCCTATGCTTCCTGTGTTTTGGCCTCCACCTGCTTACTGACTAAGGGCAACACATTTATTCTCTGCTGCATGGCTTCACTCATGATTCTGTTCATGATCGACCAGAGTTGCTACCCACACGATGAAATCCTAGAGTCCGAGAACTGGAAAAAAGTGGTTTATACGGGAGGTGAGTTCAAATCACTGCCACAGTGTTTACGGTCACACTGTCTCTCCCAGCGGCAGTGTCCATGCGCTTCGTCCTCACGTATCCTCACCGTCAACTTTGTTGTTAACCAACATAGAACACACTTTAAATGCCTGAAAATACTAAATGTGCTCACACCCACAGAAGTTTTCTTCATGCTCTGATTTCCAGTGCCCAATACATATCTACTTCATGTTAATGAGATCAGCAGAATTTAGGGGTGCATACTTATGTGCCAGGTACAGGGGTCACTCTGGCGAACTAGACATAGTCCCTGCCTGAGACAGCCAAGAAAGTTACTGAAAAGCAAAACAAACTAGTGAATAAAAATGGTGAAGACAACTGGGAACAAACAAAGCTGGGAGTTCTTGGGAGGCTGAGGCTGGAGGATCATTGCAAGTTCAAGATATAGTGAGTCCCTGAGCTACAGAGTGAAATTCTGTCTGAAACAATAAAGTAACTACAAGCAGTTTTGATGCTCTGGGAAGGCACAGGGTGACTCTGAGGTGGCATGAGAGGAGGAAGTGCTCTTCAGGGAGGATGTTTAAGCGAGATTGGAGAGATGAGCTCACAGAAGAGCAGGAAGAGTGGTTCAGGCAGAAGCTGCTGTCTTGTGATGATGGGAGGCCGAGAAGGTGCTGGAAGGGAGCAGTGCGGCTGAACTTGTGTGGAAAACTTAGGCCAGTGAAGTGGGCAGACTGGGCAGGATTAGGGATTGGATCTTAAAGGCAAATAAGATGCCTTGGATGGAATCCAGGCAGCAAGTGCTATATGATGAGGGCAGCCGCTTCCAGGCGTCACTGGACTAACAGAACAGACACGGGAGCACCAGGGGGAGGTGTTCAGAAGTGGTGATGTGAAGGCTGGAGTGAGGCGACTGGACTTGAGTAAGTACTGGAATGAGAGCTGACACTGAAGGAGGAAATTCATGTAGGATGCTCACAGTTTGTCCCGAGTTAGGGCTTCCTTTAAGGTGTGCAAGCCAACAAGAAGAGCATCCCTGGGGGCTTGAGTTTCTCCCATTATCCCTTTGCTGTCAATCCACACTGGGTCGTACAGCATGTTTCCTTCAGGTTCATATCTTTTTTTTTTTTTTTTTTTTTGGTTTTTTTCGAGACAGGTTTCTCTGTGGTTTTGGAGCCGGTCCTGGAACTAGCTCTTGTAGACCAGGCTGGTCTCGAACTCACAGAGATCCGCTCAGGTTCATATCTTATGTGGCATTAGTACAGTCTCCTTGACCAAGTTCTGGGTGCTGACTCTCCTGTGCCCTAGGTGGCAGAGGCGGAATGGTGAGGAGAATCTGGGTTTGTAGCTAAATGTGCCTCAGCTGAAGCTCTGACTTCTGCATATGGGTGTATAAACTTGGACTAGCACCTCATCATCTTGAACTCAGTTCCAAGTTCTTGAAGCTTACAGGCTCACGGCAACTGAATGAGGCAATGAGGTAGTCCTGTGTAGGGTCCTGGACAGGAAATGGCGATTGCTGGCTCCATCTTTTCTACCTCCCCTCTCCCAGCTCATAGCAAGTGTTTTCCTCAGAGGTCATTGTTCCTAGAGTTGATCCCGTTGCTCAAAATAATCCACACTCTTAGCATGAGACTCCTGGTTGGCTTTGCTGTATGAGTTAAGGAGGAAATGGCACCTCATAGATTCTGACACCTGTTAATGTCAGTATTGTGCACATTTCAGAGTGGACGCTGTAGATATTCCGCTTGCCTGGGGACAGCCGGTCACCTTAGACTGAGGACCCCTCTTCCCTACAGAGCTTCAAGGAGCTGGCCCATGGCTAGCGTTGGGGAGATAATGTCATCTATTTTTTAGGACAATTCTGACTTTAAACCTTGCCTCCTCGTCTCAGCAGATCCATGATTGGTCTTTATACTATACTATACTATTCTATACTATACTATACTATTCTATTCTATACTATACTATACTATTCTATACTATACTATACTATACTATTCTATTCTATACTATACTATACTATACTATTCTATACTATACTATTCTATTCTATACTATACTATTCTATACTATACTATACTATACTATGCCGAAACTAGCACATTAACTGATTCTTTCCCCTGGAAGTGACCTTTTGCTAGGTCACCTGTTACGATCTAACGGGTTCTCACAGAATACATGTCGGTCAGGTTGGGCGTGTAGTCCAGTTGGCAGAGCACTTGCTTGGCTTGCTTGGACCCCTGGGGTTTGACCTCTGGTACTGCACTGGCTGTGGTGGTGCGCACCTGTAATCTCAGCACTGTGGAGCTAAAGGCAGAAGGACCAGAAGTTCAAGTCATCCCCAGCTACAGAGCAAGTTTGAGGACAGCCTGGGCTACATGAGAGCTGGCCATAAGACTATTGTTACCCCATATTCTTATTAACTGAGGAAGAATGTCTAGTTTTTAAAGGCCAGGCCTTGAATCAGGCCCCTGTGTAGGTTACTTCCTCCTGATCTCTTATGAGGAAATAGAGGTAATTCTAAGTCATGGGAGCATTATGAAGTCTAAGTGAAGCAATTGGTAGCACCTGGCAGAGTATCCAGTACCGAGTAGATGCGCCCCTAATTTTGGAGTCCTTGTGCCTGATGTGTTTCATGTAAAATTCCATTGTCTTGGGAGTTCCTGAGACTAGATCTAGGTCCAGTGATTTGTTAGGAGGACTGGGCATGCTGCTGTGCTCATAGGGAAGACTGGTTAGAACACAAGGAGGTGGGCCAGGAGGTTACAACTGACTTTCATCCCTGCACTCAGAGGCAGAGGTAGCTGGAGCTCTCGAGTTACAGGTTAGCGTGGTCTACAGAGTCAGTTCCAGGACAGCCAGGGCTATAACAGAGAAACTAAAACAAAATCAAAAATAAAGGATGTGACTCAAAATCACGAGAGGGAAAAGGTGCGTGGGAAGTGACCACAGAAGACAGTCACACTCTACTTCCCAAGCCTTGAACTGTGGTCATGCACATGAAGCATTGTCTTGCAGGGAAGGTCATCAGAGACTCACTCAGGTACCCACTGCCTAGCAGGTACCGAATGCCAGACTTGAGAAGGGAAGTGGCTGTTCAGCACAGACTACTTGCACAGCCTGAGCAGAGTGAGTCACTCTGATTACTCAGTGCTATTGCTATTGGTATGAGCCTGAGGCCACTCCGTAAGCAGCCTCAAGCATGGAACATTGCATGTTAAACTTCAAACAACCAGGAAGATGTTTTCCCCCTGAAAAGACTCTGGCCAACTTGAATTCAGTCTTGGCCAGAACTTGGCTTCTGGTCTGAGCTCAAACAGAATGGACCCTGAGATTGCATTAGCTTCCAACTAGAGGCTTACAGATACTTACTAAACTGAACATAAACACGGGGCTTTTACTTCTCTTGCAGCAGTTTCCTCAGCTCTGTGAGAGACCCCTGAGGGACCGAGGGTGGGGTAGGAGCCACGTGAGGCACTTCATGAAACTGAGAGTCTGCTTCTCTCTTTGCAGGTGTCGTCATGCTGTTTTTCTCCCCGTTCTCACTCACCGCCTTCTACTGCCTGATTTGGTCGCTCTCCTACATCTTCTTCCCAGATGCCCTGTGGGGCAGGGGGGTTTGTATTAAGCTCTAGCGAGGGGGAACCATGACTTCACTGCTCCTGCTGGCTCTGTGGGCTCTGCACTTCGCACACTGGACCAAGACCTGCCTCATCCTCACTAAAGCTTTCCTGGTGCCTGTATTGTTATCTGCTGTCTCTGGTCTCGAATCACAACAACCCACAGTGGGCCCAGAAGCCTTTGTTTCTTTCTCCTTATTCAGGGTTCAGGCTCCCTTTAGGGTAATACTTGAAACAGGTTTTTTTTTGGTTTTGTTTTGTTTTTTGAGACAGGGTTTTTCTGTATTGTCCAGGCTGTCCTGGAACTCATTCTGAAGACCAAGCTGGCCTCAAACTCAGAGATCCACTTGCCTCGGCCTCTCAAGTGTTGGGATTAAAGGTGTGCACCATCACCATTGGCCTGGGTAATCCTTGAATCAGTCATGTAGGGTAGACTTTTGCTTCTAAGCTAAGTTTGGGCTGGTTTGAGTTTCAGCTTAGGATCTGGAGTCCCAGGTCAGCCTCGGATACATGATACTCTATCTCAGAAAGTTGGCAGCCCAAATGTATCACCTGGTGTATTAAGGTTTTCTAGAGGAACAGAGTGGATAGAATGAATATCTATCTATCTATCTATCTATCTATCTATCTATCTATCTATCTATCATCTATCTATCTATAAATGGCATTTATTAGAGTGGCTAGCTGTGATCTAGCTAGTCCAACAATGGCTGTCTACCAAGAGAAAGTCTAAGAATCCAGTAGTTGTTCAGTTTATGAGGCTGGACGTCTCAGCCTGAAGAAGGAGGCTCTAATGCCAGTGAAGTGATTTGATAGTGGGGGCAAGCAGGCAAAGAGAGCATGTCCTTTTTTATATAGGCCGCCACCAGAAGTGTGGCCCAGATTAAAGGTGGCTCTTCCCACCCCAAAAAAGCCTTGATTAAAAGTGGGTCTTCTGACTTTACGTGACTGAGAAAATTCCCTCATGCCAGGCATTGTGGCACATGCTTTCAATCCCAGCATTTGGGAGGCAGAGACAGGGGGATCTCTGTGAGTTCGAGGTCTGCCTGGTCTACATAGAGATAACATAGACTACACAGACAGCCAGGACTACATAGAGAGAACCTGTTTCAAAATGAGAAAAAAAGGAAAATCCCTCTAAAAACTAACTAAGCCTGCTTTGGTTTAGTTAGTTACAGATGTCGCTGACAACCAAGAATAGCCATCACACCTGGCTTCCAGTGAGCTCATTTTGTGTGTATCTCTTCTAAGGTCTCAAACACTAAAATCCACTCAGATGGAACTTTGTCTTATTAAACTCAAATCAGACAGAAATCCTGCGTGCTCTTATATTGTATTCCAAAGCTGCATCTTATGGAGAATAACCAGGAAGCCTAGCTTCACTCTGGTGGGAGGGACATCCAAAGGACGGCTGGCTAATTCTGCCCCTTCCCACACGGTGGCGCTTGAGCTCTTCAACAACATGTCTGCCACTGAAGGGCTTTGTTTTTAATACTTTAATTATTTTATTTTATTGGTCCTTTGCCTGTATGTATGTCTGTGTGAGGGGTTGAATCCTGGAGTTATAGACAGTTATGAGCTGTCATGTGGGTGCTGGGAACTGAACTTGGGTCCTCTGGAAAAGCAGTCAGTGCTCTTAACCGCTGAACCATCTCTACAGCCCCCGGCACTGAAGTTTTACGGGTAGTATCTATGAGCTGGGCGGTGGTGGTGCACACCTTTAATCCCAGCACTTGGGAGGCAGAGGCAGGCGGATCTCTGTGAGTTCGAGGCCAGTCCAGTCTACAGAGCGAGTTCTAGGATAGGCTCCAAGCTACACATAAAAATCCTCAAAAAGCCAAAAAACAAACAAACAAACAAAAAAGAGTAGTATATATGTGGTAAATTTGCCCCAAATCTAATTAAATTAAAAACAAATACCAACTTGCAAATGAAAGAAAAAAGGAAAATGCCAATATCATTACAACTCTATGGAAGCTGGCAGCATCGTCTCTCCCTGGCCTCTCTTCCCCAGTGTTTCATCTTTTATGTGGTCACTGTTAATGAGTCTACTGTGTTCCGCTAGACCATAATGGCCTTTTATTTATGCTTATTATTTCTACCACCTGCCACAGTGCCTAGCACTAAAAAAAATGTTGACTTTGCAGGTGAATCAGTTTCCCTGTGGGCTCTCAGAAATTATAAAGAAGGTTACTATAGTAAGAACACGTTCACTCGGGCTCAGACATAGCCAGGTGATGCTCTTCCATGCTGACACTCATGTCAGTGAGAACCTACACTTAACCAAACCTTGACAACTGTTCACATGAGCTCTTAGGGACCAGGAGCTAGCACAGCACTTTCATAGAGTAGGCTCATGTAGGACGGAATATGCTTTCTGCTTTTTTTGAAGGGGAAGGAAGGGAGAAAGAGAGGAAGAGAGGGAGGGAGGAAAGGAAGAAGGGAAGGAAGAAAGAAAGGGAGAGGAGGGAAAAAAGAGGAAGAAAGGAGGGAGGGAAGAAGAAAGGAGGGAGGGAAAAAAGGGAGAGAGGGAAGGAAAGGAGAGCAGGAAGGAGGGAAGGAAGGATGGGTGGCTCTACAGCCCTCCCTGTTCAATGTCACAGGAACAGTAGGAACAGTGGGAATCCCAGTGTAGAGATAACTTCATTGCCACAACAGCTTTTAATGTTTTGCTGACTAAAGAGTAAAAGCACCTTTTAAGGTTTACTAGGGACTCAGGTGGGAGTTATGCCCCAGCTGTGCTGCTTCCTGAGCACAGGTGTGCTCCAGATGTGGCGCTCTCCATCGCACTGACTCAAGTGAAGCAGAAATAGTAACATCCTCCTGAAGTAACCAAGAAGCTAAATGACTTGCCCAAGGTCGCTCGACAAATCCTGACAGTTCTCGAAGACAGCTGTCCCAGTCCTCCAGCAAACTCCAAAGTCCTCTATCCTACTCCAGTCTTCTGTAGTCCCTGGGCTCTGTCATTACCAGTAAGAGTAGCCTCTCTCTGGCCTGCTCCTGTTCTCTAATCATCCCTCAGGATACTTCTAGAAGCTCAGTTTCAACCGTAGTAGAAACTCTAACACATGAGCCTTAGACACCTTTCGAAGTCCCTCACCCTCTTCCAGTTCTCATTCACTCTGAGTCAGGGTCTCACTATGTAGCCCAGGCTGGCCTCCAACTTCTGATCCTCCTGCCTCAGCCTCCCAAGTGCTGGGATTACAGGTGCGTGTCACCACGTCTGGATCTCATTTACTTTTTCACACAGCTGAGAGCCGGGTCCATCGTTATAATGCATGCACTGGGAATACACACCTCCCTGTTCTTTGCTTCCACTTTAGCTGCTGAGCAAAGCCCTGGTTCACTTAACCGCAATTCTCCATCTCCTGTGCCTCCCTCCAGCAGGGCTGAGAACACTGCATGGCTGCGCTGCTTGGTGTCTATGTATGCTCATCCCCAGTGAAGCCTTCCTGCTGCCCAGCTGTCGTCCCACGTGTCCCTGTTTTCACTCTTTGTGCAACTAGACTGTTGCTTCATACCCTCTCTACTCAAGCATCCATCACCTTCCCTGTCCACTCTCGTCACCCTGCTTCTTGCTCTCCAAAGAGCTTCCACACTTACCTTACCAAATCCACCGACCCCTGCGTTCTTTCCCCTTGAGGGAAGTAATGATCTGTCCTTATTCCCAAGGCAAAGCAGCTCCTCTGTCCCCGTGGACACTAGATCCCATTCCGTGTGTGTCTTTGTGTGTTTGAGACAGGGTCTCATTATGTAGCTTTGGCTAGCCTGGGACTTGCTATGTAGAACAGGTTGACCTCAAACTCACAGGTATCTGCTTGCCTCTGCTTCAGTTTACTAAAGGTATGTGCTACCATGCCAGCTCTTTTTAAAAGACAGTTTATTTTTTTTTTAAATATTTATTTACTTATTATGTATACAATATTCTGTCTGCAGGCCAGAAGAGGGCACCAGACCTCATTACAGATGGTTGTGAGCCACCATGTGGTTGCTGGGATTTGAACTCAGGACCTTTGGAAGAACAAGTAATGCTCTTAACCACTGAGCCATCTCTCCAGCTCCAAGACAGTTTATTTTTAACTGTGTACACACACACACGTCTTTGTGGGTATAGGCGGGGGTGAGGTGCTCAGAGTACAGAAAAAGATGTTGGAAGCATGGAGCTGGACTTCAGATGGTTGTAAAATGTTGGAGGTGGATGCTGGGAACTGAACCCGGGTCCTCTGCAAGGGCAGTCAATGCTCTTAACTGCTGAGCCATCCCTCTAGCCCTCACCCTCTCCATTCTTTATTCCACTTTCTGTGAGCAGCCATTCCCACCCTAAAGTAAGAACAAATGAACATTTTGCATTTTATTATTTTCAGGGAAGACGCACAGTTTCACTAGAAACAATGATTTTTCTTGAACAGTAGAAAAAAGGCCTTTAAAAAAAAAAAGCTGCTGTCTCAGATGAAAAGTCTATCCAGCAAGCACTAGGCCAGTTCTGAGAGGAGGAACCAGTGTGGTGAAAGTTACCTACAGGAAGTTCAGTGCAGAGTTCTCAGCAAGTCTTGTTTAGTTCCCAGAGGCTCCCGTTCCTCAGACTAGGATGCAGGTGGGCTCACTCCCCAGGGGGCTGCATTTGCTTACAGAACTCGTCAAACTGCTGCTGCTCCAGCTCTGTCATGACTCTGTTGAGAGCGTAGATCTGAGGGGAGAACAGATACATTAGCAGTGGAAGAAGCTGCATTTCCACCAGGAGGGGCTGTGAACAGCAGCTTCTGTTGGGGGAGTGGAGCGAGCAGCAGTGAGGGTGTGGTCTTTAGAGGACAGTACCTGACAGGTCTGAGGGAAGTCAAGGGAGGCAGCAGGCCATGCACTGGAGAGAATCTTGAAAACATTTTAAGCTTGATGGTGGAGGTTGTCCTCTTACCCCCACACATAAATGTAGCAAGGAAAAAAAATGTTCAGAGGAGAGCCAGTCCAGGGCCAGAAAGGTTTGTCCCCAGCACCCACAACTGCCTTTAACCAGTTCCCGGGGATCCTATGCCCTCATTGCCTCCATGGGCATTGCTCACTTGGTTCACAGAGACACTTGCAGACAAAACACTCATAAAAATAAAGGTATCTGAGAGGCACTTGGAGGCAGAGGCAGGTGGACCTTTGTGAGTCTGAGGACAGTCTAGTCCACATAGTGAGTTCCAGAATAGCCAGTGCTATATAGTAGAGACCACGCCTCAACAAAACAAAATCTGAGAGGCAAAAGTGGGATAGAAGTTGGGATGGCTCAGCAGTTAGAGCACTGCTGCTCTTACCATGGGACTGAGGGGTTCAGGTCCCAGCACCCATGCTCCAGGCAAACATAAATATACATAAATAATGGTTAAAAAATAAATCTTAAAAAAAAATGGTTGTGTGTGTGACTCATGTCTTTAATCCCAGCACTCTGGAGGCAGAGGCAGGATGATCTCTGAGTTCAAGGCCAGCCTGGTCTACATAAAGAGTTTCAGGCCAGGCAGTAAGTTCATAGAGAACAGCAAAGGAATGATTAGCATAAAATTAAACAAAGCAGCAGCCGGGCGGTGGTGGCGCACGCCTTTAATCCCAGCACTCGGGAGGCAGAGGCAGGCGGATCTCTGTGAGTTCAAGGCCAGCCTGATCTACAGAGCTAGTTCCAGGACAGGCTCCAAAGCTACAGAGAAACCCTGTCCCAAAAAACTAAAAAAAAAAAAAAAAAAAAAACAAAAAAAACAAAAAAACAAAGCAGCTTATGTGAATGGGCCATGACCAGAAGTGAGCACTGGAACTTCCAAGTTACTGGTCTATTTCCCATCTTTTTCCCCTTTCCTTTTTTTTTTTTTCCTCTTAGAGACAAGGCTTCACTATGTTACTTAAGCTGGTCTTGAACTCATGTACTTATTGATCCTCCTCAGCCTCCCAAATGCTGGGACTACAAGTGTGTGCCACTGGGCTTGGCTTCAAGTTCAGTTTCTTAGGCTGAGTGGTAGGTACGAGGGTGTTTATTCTTCTTATACCACACATGATTACATGTGTACTTTATAATATATTTGAAAAGCAGAAAAGTCTCTGCTTTGTAGGTTTGATACCTGCCAGCCTTTGTGATCTGTATAGTACTTTCTGTTCTGGGACTGACAGGCATATTAAGTGCGTTCTGGAGACCTTCCAGTCAAAGAGAGAATGGTAGGAGAAAGGGGGAAATAAGCAGGGCATACAGAGATTTACAATGTCCAGGGTGTCTGAGCTAAGGAGTGAGACTTTCGGCCTAGAAGGAAAGGATCACAGCAGTGTGATGTGCTGTTCCAACTGATAGCAAATCCCAATCCCCACACATGGCATGCCTCCTTTCTGGAATATGGCATCTTTATCCCTTCCTCTTGAGGAGGTGATGGCACATTCCTCAAGGAGATTCCATTCCATTCTGGGGAACACAGACAAAATAGCAAGACAGCTGTTGGGGGAGCAAATGGTGGCCTGGGGCCGGGGTGTAGCTCAGTGGTAGAGCACAGGCACATATAGACTCTGGGTTCAAGCCTTACACGACAGGTAAAACCATGAGGTGACTAAGTAGGGAGCACTGCTCTGACCACGGGCCTGTCCCTACTATGGCCGGACTCCTTTGCCAGAAGGATTCACAAAGGCTAAGTGGGAACTAGTAACACCTGCTCAGCATTTGCTCACACATGTGCAGGCCTGGCTCAGGCTGACATAGAGGAGCTAACAGGTGCTGCTGCCAGCGTGCACACCCAATCTGATACCTCAGCAAGCAAATCTGGATACAACCAGCTGGTCCCTCTAAGTCCACATGGTAAGAGCACATCGGCTTGGAGGCATGGTGTCTCCAGACCGTGATCACTGCTGACTGTCAAACACCTTCTGTGCGCCAGGCACCGTGCTAAGTGCTTTCCATATGTAATTTCTATTCCTTATGATACTGTGAGGTAGATACCACCACCCTCATTTTACCAAAGAGGCATCAAGGAAGTGGTGTTCAGAAGTCTGTTTTCCAAGGTCATGTGGGAAGAATGAGTGGAAGCCAGCAGGGACAGGAACAATGCCCTCCACATCTATCTTTCAGTGTGCGCAGAACAATTTGGGGGCTGTTTCTTACAGTTCCCCTTGAACTGTCTGCTAAAGCACAAAGCAGTTAAGGCCATCTTGGATCTGGGTAAAGAAAGGGCACATTTATTTATAGAATGGAGGACCACAGCTTTCAGATGCCCTGCTTAGGCCACGGGGAGACTTTGGGGTGCAAGGGAACTTCAGATATGCTCCCAAGTTTATTATGATTACTGGAATGCACACTCTATGAAGGCAGAAACTGTTCTGTCTTGTCCTGTCATGTGTCTCACTCAAGCCCATACACTGGTACAGCAGCTGGGCATCTGTTTAATAAGTGGATCTAGTAAACAAAGTTGGACAGTATCAACTGTCAGACCAAAAGGAACAAGAAGTGTCTCACATGACCAACAGAAGTGCAAGCTTGAGGAATCCTTCTGAAAGTTATTTGGCAATGTCTAAGAAAATTGAAATGGCACCTGGTAATTTCTCTGGTCATACCTCACAGAAATCCTAGCATAGATGCCAAGAAGCACCTAAAAGGTTTTCTTTACTACAAATGTTTGTAAAAAGCAAAATTATAAATAATTACAATATCCATCACAGGAGGAACGGGTGAACACTGAATAAGGCGGTTCAGGGGCAGGAGAGAGGGCTCAGTGGTTAAGAGCCCTTGCTTCTCTTCCAGAGGACCCTGGTTCGAATCTCAGCACCTTTCATACTCACCTGTAATTCTGTTCTAAAGCATCTGATGCACTCTTATGGCCTCCATGGGCACCTGAACTCATATCCACATACCCACCACACTCATAATTAACAATAAATCTTTTTTAAAAGTTTATAAAGTAGACACTATAAAGAACAAAGAAAACAGATCAAGAGTAACATGAACAGCTCTAAGAGCCATGCAAACGAAGCTCAAATGTACAGATAATGTATTCAGCTATGTGAATGAAAATGCATCTAAAAAAAGGGGGGGGAGGGTAGAGGCATGCAGATCGCTGAGTTCTGAGTTCGAGGCCAGCCTGGTCTACAGAGTGAGTTCCAGGACAGTGAGTTCCAGGACAGCTAAGGCTATACAGAGAAACCCTCTCTTGAAAAAAAATAAATAAAATAAAAAAGGCTTTACCTATGGAGATAGAGAAAAGGTGTAAGACAAATAAAACGGTCAAAGGGGACAGTAAACTAACTTATGTGACTTTATTTATCTTAAGAAAATTCTATGAAAATTCAATCCCACTGACCACTACCAAGTCGGAGAAAGCTATATTCTAAAATTCCTCAAAAACACGCGCAACGAAGAGGCAGAAAAGACCAGCAAGCTTATTCCTGATACTAAATATTAAAATACTCACGTCTGGATATGGTTCATTGGCAATGTAAATGTTTTAAAGCTTTTTATCCTTAAAATGCTTAAGTGTTGAGAGAACAAAGAGACACAGGGTGGGCTCAAAGCCTGGGCCTTCACATGGTTAGGAGCAGACGCTTAAAAATTGGTGGTGTTGTATGTGTGTGTGCATGCCACGACCATGTGGAGGTCAGAGGACAGCTTCCTGTAGTCCTTCTCTTCTACCAATATATGGATTCTGGGGAGCAGACTCAGGTAGTCAGGCTTCTGCCGCAGGCACTCACCCACTAACTAGCTACTTTTCTCACCAAATGCACACGTGTAGCCGGGTCCCAGGACATACTGGCATTTCATGAATTCTGATCCATTCATTTATTCATATTCTCCCCCCCATCCTTCCTTCATCCGCGGCCGCTTTTTCTCTTTTCACGCGTTCCTCAGATCCCTAGCACAAAAGCTCTGTGCCAGGAGTCACCTAGAGACCTGGTGGTACAGGTGGGGATCCTGACACTAACTTGGCCTGTGACTCTCGGCTTCCACTTTACCATTCTAGACCTCGATGGCTTTTCTTCCCCGAAATATCCTGCCTAGAGACAAGCAGGGACCCCTAAGCAAAGTTTTCTCTGCTGTGTTTTCTTCCAGCACCTTCTCCTTCAGCTGACACAGGCACTGTGAGCCCCCTCCTAAGTCTCACCTCTGCTCTTTGTCTTTGCTTCAGCTCCTGCTGGGCAGATTTCTGCTTAGCCTTCTCCACTCTGAAGGCAGGTTCTTTAACTTTGGATTTTTCTTTCCGGGCAGGTGGATCCATGGCTTGGCTTCTGAATGCTTTTTGGTCAGCTCTGACCTGATGGTACAAAAAGAGAAGGGCTTGCTAGTCTTTCTCCCAACTCCCTCGCTTAGCAGCGAGGCAGGGTGCCCTGGAGTCCCACTGCCAGCACCTCGCTGTGTGTTGCTAGCCGAGTCTCCTCACTTCGGAGTCTCAGTTTCCTGCACAATGGGACAGCAGTCATTTTCTGGGCCTTTCCCTACCAACACCGGGTGAGCAGCAGATGAAAAGGACAAGAAAGCAGCTCCAACCCGGGGGCGTGCGCCACGGCCGGGTCTCTGAGGCCGAGGGGCAAGCAACTTGGTCCCTGGTAGCGCCCTCAGCCAGCCCCGCCCTCCCGGCCTCCCGGCCCCTCCGCAGCAAGATGGCGGCTCGGGGGTCCGCGCCCTTCCCTACCCGGTCTCGGGCTCCTGGCCTCCGCCACGTCGCAGACCAGCCCCCACGCGGGGATCAGCTTCGCCTTCCCCTTCCGCGGGACCGGAGCGCCCAGCCCCGCTGCCCTTGAACTGGGCGGGCCGCGCCGGGGAGGGCGGGGCCGCGGCCGAAGGTGTCCCTCCCGCAGGAGCCACTGCGCGCGCGCAGACAGCTCACCTGGGCGTGGTCAGACTGAGAGAGGCGGAGTCGGAGGCGGGTAGGGCGGGGTCTGTGGCTGGAGGGCGGGACCTGAAAGTGGGAGGGGAGGGACCTGTGGCAGGGACATTCTTACAAGTAACCAAAGCTTTTCCAGGCTTCTAGTTTCTGGGACAACTGCAAGACTTTGAAGGGCGAAATGTGATTCCTGGGATTGGAATTGGTTAGCACTGGAATTTTGAGCATCAGGTTCTAAAAAGTCAGGATTGCTGACTGCTTCCTTCCTGATTTACAGGTTTTTCTTTAAGGAGGATCAAATGCTATTCTGTTTGCCACCGTGCTTTGAAAGAGTTGAAAAAAATAACATTTTAAATACACGGCCCCTAGTCAGGCCTAGTGGTGCACACCTTTAATCTCAGCACTGGGGAGGCATAGGCACGAGGGTCTCTGAGCTGGGGGAAGGGAGGAGTGGAAAGAGAAAGACACCATAGATAATCAAAGGGGTGTAAAATAAAATTTCTAGCTATCGTTTTCATTTGTTATATTAGCAAGAATTGACTAAAGAAGAGAAGGTAGAGGAAGATCCAGAGTAATAGCAATAGCTGCTTCCCTTTGGGTCTTCCTATCTTCCTGGCACTCTTCTTAGAACATTACATTACTAACTCCCTAGTCCTCATAATAAGGATGTAGTCTATAGACATGTACGAATAAGCTATCTTCTTCTTCTTTTTCCTTTGAATGAGTTGGTTTAATTCAAAGTGATACAGAATTCAGAGTGCAACAAAGACGAAACAGCAGGCTCTGGCAGGATTCCAGACTGGGTTTACTTTCAATTCACAGCTGAGGTAGGAACTGCTGAACACTAGAGACAATGAGCCATTGTATTATTTATTTTATTTTTTCCTATTCAATATTTTTTATTGCTTTATAAATAATACCATTCAAAATTTCCACCTCCCCCCTCCTCCCATTTCCCTCCCTCTCCCCCTTATTATTATTATTATTATTTACAAAAATTTATTACAATGTTCAACAGGCTCCAGGATAACACTTCATTCTAGCTGTAGATGGCAAAGATGTTATGGCAGGGAATCCAAATGTTTACATAGGAATGGAAGAGGGTCACCATCATCTCAGATATGAGGAACAGCTTACTTTTGTCAGATTTCTTAATTCCACCTGTGGCCAGGGGTCCCTTCCCCGCGGCCTTGGCTTTTAGCTCCTCCAGTTTCTTCTGCTCCTCTTTTTGTTTCTGCTTGAAAGCCTTATCTTCCTCGTCCATTCCTTGGCCTGCTTCTTGGGCTGTTTCGGGGGCTTCTTTTTGCCACCTTTCCGGCCCAACATGGCACCTCCAGACACCCCTTTCTCCAGATCCCTTCAGACCTGCTTCTTTGTCTTCTGTCAAAGTGGTAAGGATTTCTGTGCATGATGGTGCACACTTAATCTCAGTACTCCAAAGGCAGAGGCAAACAGATCTCTGTGTATTTGAGGTCAGTCTGGTCTACCTAGCAAATTCCAGACCTCCCAGGCCTACACATTCAGCATCTAGTGGGGAGTCTACAAGGACTCTCAGGTACTTTCAGTCTAACTGTGAGTTGTTATATTGTCTTGGGAGGCTAATTCTGTATTGGATTTTAAAACCTTAAAAATGGGCATAATCACATACACACACACACACACACACACATTAATTACTGCTTGCTTCCATTTATACAAGGTATCAAAAATAGTCAAACTCTAAGAAACAGAAAGGGCCAGGAGCTGGGGCGGGGGTGGGGGGTGACTGCCAGGGTATGTGTATGGGGAGTGGTTGCCAGAGAATGGGGGGGAGTAGAAAGGAGAGTTATTGTTCTATGGGTATAGAGTTCATTTTGCAAGACAAAATTCTAGAGAGTTGGTGTATAGCAATGTTAATACTTTTGTATATAGACTTTAAATGACTGAAATGTTGTGCCTCTAATCCCAACGACTGAAAAAGCCGAGGCAGGAGGATCACAAGTTGAATGCCAGCCTGGGCTACATACAGAGTAAGTTAAAGATCAGCCTAGGACACCTCACTGAGACTCTGTCTTAAAAAAGGAAGAGGAGGGTTGGGGATGCAGGTCAATGGTCGAGCACCTGCCACAGTGTGTGTGAGACTCTAAAGTCAATCCTCAACACCTCCCAGAGGGGAGCGAAAAGGTAAAATGGTTTTACCCCAGCTTTATTTAAGAGTTGACTCCAACCATCTTAAGCAGTTTCACTTCGAAGAAGTTGTCCTAAGTAAATAATCAGAAATAGCAGTATTTATAAGAGGAAAACACTACACTGGCCAACATTTTAAAATTTTTTCCTGAGACGGGGTTTTTCTGTGTAGCCCTGGCTGGCCTGGAACTCACTCTGTAGATCAGGCTGGCCTGTTCTGCCTCCCGAGTGCTGGGATTAAAGGTGTGCACCACCACTGCTGGGCTAACAGCCAACATTTTATCATCGGAGTTAAGATGAATGAAAGAGCAAGGCGTAGTGGAGCACACCTCTAATCTTGCACTCGGGAGGCAGAGGTAGGCTGATCTCTGTGAGTCTGAGGCTAGCCTGGTCTACATAGTGAGTCCTAGGACAGCCAGGGCTATGTAGAAAGATCCTGCTTCAAAACAAAAACAAAAAGGATAGACGAAAGGGTAGCTATAGTAAAACTCAAGACAACCACTAAAATGGCATAGAAGAAAGTTTTATGATATAATAAAATGCTTTCTAAACAGACAGATCCCTAGAGCATGACGACCAGGCAACCTAAGCACTTCGGTGGGCCCAGGTTCAGTTAGAGACTGTCTCAAAATATAAGGTGGAGTTTAATAGAGGAAGACACTTGACATTGACTTCTGATCTCTCTCTCTCTCTCTCTCTCTACACACACACACACACACACACACACACACACACAGTGCTTTAGCATATTAAATTTTTAAAAGCCACAAAGAACATATATTGTCTAACCACAGTATTTGTTTTATAGTTTCAAAACAGAAAATGGGATTTGAAAGCATACCGAAGTTGTTAATATATCTTGTTTTATTAGTAGGAATTATATTCATTTTGTTTAAGATTTTCTGTATTTTGTGAAATTTCAACAGTGGATATTTATACATCATAGGAGAAAGCACAAGAGCCAGGTGCCGGGATGAGAGTCTGTAATCACAGCTCTCAGGAGGGTCTCAAGCTGGAGGCCACCTAGGGCTACACAGCAGACTCTGCCTCAAATAAAGGAGAAAAGACAAGAAATGCCCTTTGAAAGGTCTAGCAGCTAGGGGGCTGGGAAGGTGTTCAAAGAAACCATATTTATTTAGCTGGAAGTCCAGAACTCTGTCCATTTACCCCTTAAAGCGAAGAAGCATGGTAGGGCCTGATTTTGCGAATGGCTGTAATCCCATCACTCAGGAGACAGATGTAGGAGGATTACAAGTTTGAGGCCAACCTGGACTATGTAGTGAGATGCTGTCTGAAAACAAAACAATTAAAACTTGGGCAAAGGGACAGACACAAAGGCTAATTATGTCTGCCAACACATAGTTCTAGAGGAGAGGTAAGCTGTAGTGTTCCAGGGTGAGAACATTTATAATAACCTATTAAATATTCAAGAAAGAGGAGTTTGAAGTTTCCTAGCACAAATGAGTGATGAATGTGTAAGGAGTGTGTGTGTGTGTGTGTGTGTGTGTGAATGTGTGTGTTTGTGTCTGTGTGTGTGTGTGTGTGCCAGAGAGGAAACCTAGAGCCTTGCCAGATGGACGAATTCCAGTGTCTTGATCACTACATCACTCCATACCCAAAGCAGAGTGTGAGACAAGCCCTTCAATACAAGAATTTTCAGGCGGATATCCAGGAGAAGAAAAGGGTTTCTTGCATCAAGGTTTCCAGTGGGGAATCTTGGAGGAGTATGTAGTAATAGAAGGTTCAGAACTTGATTCCTTAGAGCACGACCTATGGTGAACTCTAGGGATGCCCACAGACTAAATAGGCTGCTGAGCCTTTGTATAGACTCTCAGACAGTAAGCAAAGAGCTACTGGGTTCCTACAGCCTGCTGAAAAGTTTCAGCTACACTGAAATTGGGAGACAGGTCAGCCCTCAACAGGGGACTCGGTGCAGGCCACCACTGACATCTGCTAGACTCAAAACCCAAGGAAGTCTGTATGACGAGTATATCTTTCTGAAAGTCAAACTGCATAGTTTGTATGGCAATGAATACAGTCCTGGGCAGTATGAGGGTAAGCCAGTTAGGAAGGGTGTAACACAGGAAGGGCAGGAAGCAAGTTTGCTCGTCTGAAAGCGTGCAAGCATGCATCAAGGTGTAGCTGGAGATAAAGCTGTGGGTACGGCTGATTGGCGGGTGTCTTGAAGCCTACCTTCTCATTTTTTAAGTTAGTTTAAGTTAGCATGCAGAGTGATGGGTTTCCTCATGGGATTTTCATGTGTATATGTTATTACAGTTTATCCTCACTCACCCCCTCCCCAGTACCTCCCCACATATTCCCAACCCCTTCTTGCAGTTCCCCCCTCCTTGTCTGCTTTTATATTGCCTGTATTACTTTGCTCTTCCCCTGCGTTTTATGGTTTCTTTCTTCTCCCCCATGGAATCCTTTCTATTTTCAGACCCCTACCACACACAGACACACAGACACAGGCACACACACACACACACACACACACACACACACACCTCTAAATGTAAATCCCACACATAGGCGGAAATGAGCAGTACTGACTTCCTGAGTCTGCCTTATTTCCCTTTACACAACGGGCTCTGGTTCCATTCACGGATCTTCTAACCCGTACTGGTTGGAAAGTAAAGGAGAGCAAGCTTTTAAGAAAAGGGGTGATGTGGTCAAATTGCAGGAGTCACTGTTGTACCAGGCACTGGAGGAAAAGTCCTTTCTTTGACAGTTCCCTCGCTGCTGGGGAGCCTCTCCTTTCTACACCCTTGCTTTATCAGGGATGGGCAGACAGGGCGTGGCTTGTGTGTTTTTAAGGACCTCCAGAAGGCCATCTGTGGGGCAGAGGGAACTCTTGGCTGTGAGGCTCTGCTCATCAGTCTAGAATATGAACTTTTCCCAGACCCATCTTTTGGGATGTTCCTGGCATTCTTGGCCGATGTCGGACCACCCTGCCTGTGGGGAGATGGTATTCCCAGCTAGGAAGCTCCAGCTTTGCCACTAAAGGACAAGGATCCCGCGTCTCAAATGTGGTGAGTTCTCTCCCATCTCCCTTCTTTTCTTAGTCTGTCTAGTTCTTTAAATTTCTCAGTATCGTCAAGCTCATAAATGTAGAGAAATAATCTTTCCTTTTACAAAGAACATCTTTGTTTTGTTTTGTTTTTCAAGACAAGGTTTCTCTGTATAAGAGCCTTAGCTGTCCTGGAACCAGCTCTGTAGACCAGGATGGCCTCGAACTCAGAAAGATCGACTTGCCTCTGCCTCCTGAGTGCTGGGCTTAAAGGCATGTGCCACCGCTGTCCAGCTACAAAGAACATCTTAAAGGATAAAAAGGGACAATGGTTAGCTGTCACTTAGGAGCCCCAAATACAGCAAGTGACAAGAATGACAGGTGGCTGTCTGAAGACTCTTACTTAACACTGCAGTGCTATGCTTCAGCAGGCATGCCGTTTGCCCTTCACCATCTGCTCGGTCCTGAACTGGGTGACTGCAAATTATAGACACCTGGGATCTTCTTAAACTGCTCAAGATGGGCAAAGAATATCTGTTGGGATCCTTTCCTCCTCTTCTTTCTTTTTTTCTGACTTAGAAGTTTCAAAACTCAAACTAGTTCAAGCTTACAATGTAACTGACTCTGGGGGGAAATACTTGCAACGTGTGTCATGGGAAAAAAATGGTTACTTATGTGAAGAATTTTGCAAGCCATTAAGAGACAAATGTGTCAAAGACAAAAAACCCAGCAAAATACAGAGGAAATCATTGACAAGGACCAAATAAATGAATAATCAAAGAAGTACAGATTAGCACAAGGGACTATCAAATTCTAAGAAATATAGTTTCGTTATCAAATTGGTAAAAACTTTAAAAACTTGATACATCCTTCTGAAGGCAGGGTTGTAGGAAAGCAAGAAAATTAATGAATTAATTAATTAATTTGCTTTGACCTTTTCTTAGGGCAATTGGTGGTGAAATTGTAAAACATTTCTATTTTAAAATTAGGAAAGCCAACGCCTAAGACTTTCAGCAGCTTCCTTCTACTCAGAGTCTCATTTAGTTGGAGACCACACTGCTACCCCTAGGACAAAGCTTCCTACTTCCAGCCGCCAACCCGCTGTCATTTGTAGCAATGTTTAAGCAACTTACCATATTTAATTATTTTTTAAAATTCTCACAGGTCTGTGTTGGAACACTGAATCTGGTTGAAGAATATGTGGTTGTATGAACAATGTGTGTAATGCCACATTCCCGGAAAACACCAGGTACCAAAGCCACGATGGTTTTATGCTTTTGGAAAGATTTTTTTTTTTATTTTATGTGTATGAGTGTTTGCATGCATGTATGTATGGCAGGTACATGCTTAGTGCCTGTGGAGGTCAGAAGAGGGCATTGGATCCCCTGGAATTGGAGTTACAGATGCTTGTGAGCTACCTTGTGGATGCTGGGATAGAACCCAGGTCCTCTGCAAGAGCAGGTAGTGCACTTAAGAGCTGAACCATTTCTCCAGCCCCTCCAGACTGTTTTCCAGTAACCAAAGTGATACAAAGGATGTGAAATGTTGGAGAGACTTTGGGAGTGTTCTCGCCTCCTAGAGTGTTGGCATTTTCAACGTTTTCCTCGGTGTGGCTCAAAAGATTCTGCTAACGGCATTTTGGGCAATGGCAAGTGGGTGGGCGGAGCTTTACTAGGGAGCCCTCTGGGGTCTCAGGCTGCTAGAGCACACAGTGCACCTCTGAGTTATGACTATCTCCTTTTCGCTCAGCACACATTTATCACGTATTTATTCTCCAGGCATCTATATATTAAGTCCTCCCACCTACGAGTGAAGACAGGCCCCTCCCCCACGGACTAAGAACATGCCATCACAGATAGTACACAACCTTGCTAGAGATGTGGAGCTAGCAAAGGAAAATAGGTGAGACCTGAACCCAGGTTTTTTCAACCCCCAGTGCCTGTTTGAAGGATTAGTGTCTTCATGATGGAACGGTGGACTTGTACGCCTCTGTTGGTTATATATAAATCTAAAAGGGTGTCAGGGAGGCTGGAGAGATGGCTCAGCTGCTTTTCCTAGGGACCATTCTCAGTCCCCACATCAGGCTTCTCACAACCACCAGCGGAGCCAATACCCTCCTCTAGCCTCCCAGGCCACCTGCACTCACGTGGTATACACACCTCCCCTTGTATATATATATATATATATACAATTTAAAGTATTTAAGGATGAAGAAAAGAAAGTGTTTCTGAGAATTTTAGTCACTTTGTCACACGAGCGTAAGGGTAGTGAAGCTGGGCTTCGAAGCACATGTCCTTGCTCCTCAGGTGGAACGCGTGACCTGGGTCTCGGCCCCACCTCCTAGGTTCCTCAGCTCAAGTTCGTCAGTCCTCTTCCGGTGTCTGTCCTAGTTCATATGGAGAGACCACCAAGTCCCTCTGCCTCCCAGCTCCTCAGCTGCCTCCTCACTCTAGCCTTCCTCCAGCTGCCTGCTCAGGTGTCAGGTAGGAGTTTTGGGTCTTTCTCTGCCTGGGAGGTCTGACCAGGATGAGGCATGGCGCTGGAATTTGGTTCTTGGGTTCCGTTGTCTACTGTCCTTCCCAGGCTCTGCCCTTTCTTAGGAAACTCCCCTTTCTCACTCATCCCCCAAGCCATCTCTTCAGCGTCCTTCACCCCGTTTGGTGTCTGTTCCACAGGGAATACTGACAAGTTCTACCTGGCCCCACTTGGGGGCAGAGCCGAGCTGCCCTGCCCCCTCTTGCTCTGGCCAGGCATGGTGCTCAGCGAGGTGAGGTGGGAACGGCCTGCACCCCTGCCTCGCACCCAGGCTGTCCACGTGTTCCGGGATGGGCAGGACAGTGATGAAGATCTGATGCCAGAATACAAGGGCAGGACTACGCTGGTGAGAGATACCCACAAGCAAAGTTACATTCTGTATATCAGTAACGTGAGGCTCGAGGACCGAGGGCCGTACCAATGCCAGTTCCGGATCGGAAACCAGAGTCAAGAGGGCAACGTGACCCTGCAAGTGGCAGGTTAGGATGCTTTGCAGGGGCCTGGGTCATTTGTGGCAATCGCTTTGTCAGTTCTGTCTTCTCTAGCCTGGTCTGCTCATCTCAATGAAGCCCTGACTGGTGATTCTTCCTGAGAGGGGAAGAAACCTGGACTTTGGAAAACACTGTCCGGATAAACACAGGCTGGCCGGCTCAGACAAGGGCAGCTTTCTCAGCTTCGGCTTCCTTACCAAGAAACTCACAACCAGGGCTGCAAGGAAAAGTCCCCAAGGGCCAGGATTCCCTGCTGTGATAAGGAAATGCTTCACAGTCCTTTTCCAGGTTCTTGAGTGTTTAAAGAGCCAGAAGTCAGAGACTGTTCCTCAAACTAGCTTCAGTGTTTTTATAAAAATCAGTCTACCGCAGACCCAGCCCAAGTCTCTGCTCTCACTTCAGGCCAGTCCATGGGGTTACCATTGTCAGTCTTTTTAAAAAGATTTATTTACTTTTATTTTATGCATTTGGGTGTTTTGCCTGCTTGAATATCTGTCTACCACATAGGTACCTGGGGCCTACAGACCCCAGAAGAGAGTGTCAGATCCCTTTGGGACTAGAATTACAGACAGTTATGAGCTGCCATGTGGGTGGTAGGTCCTCTGGAAGGGCAGCCAGTACTTTTAACCCCTGAGCCAGCTCATCTCTCCAACCCCTGATCATCTTTGCTTATCACTTAGTTACGAAAGAGGGATGAATTTATTTAAAACGCATAGTAGTTGGTCGATTCTTTCCAGTCACGGAGTCCTTTGGCCGGGGGTTGGCAAATCACTTTTCAGGGACTGGGGTGCCCAAAGAAACAGAATAGTGTGGACGAGTGTTGTCATGAGTGGATCTTGAACTTCATTTGTATTGACTGTTTTATCCCATTGTGGTGGTCAGACCCACTGAGGGTAAAGGGAAGGCAGAAACGACAGCTCCATTAACAGCTGTCCATCAAAGGAAGGGGTGGAGGGCAGGACACTGGCTAGGACTGTACCCTTGCCACCACGCCCCTGCCAGTCAGTTAAGTTGCCTCAATCAGACAATCTGTCCCCTTTAGTTTCAGGCTCTGATCCCTTCATCCACATGAAGAGCTATGATGCTGGCTGGATCCAGCTGGTGTGCTGGTCAATGGGATGGTTCCCAAAGCCATGGACCGAGTGGAGAGACGCTCAGGGCAGAGTGCTCCTGTCGCTCTCAGAGACCCACTCCCTGGATGAAACTGGGCTATTCCGAACAGCAGTGTCCAGCCGTGTCAGGGACAGCGCTCTGGGGAATGTGTCCTGCACTGTCCGTAATGAGATCCTCGGCCAAGAGAAGACCACAGCCATGGTTATTGCAGGTAATGCGGGGGCGCAAATCAGCTTGAGGCTCCTGAGGAGCCTGGAGGATACTCTACCTTGTGGGGGCTTTATACAGACTTTTCAGGGGAAGGGAGATGGCTCGGTGGTTGGGGCATTCAGAAACACACATGCTACACAGACATACATGCAAGCCAAACACAAATACATGTAAAAATTTTAAATTAATTTTTTTCATTCTATGAATTATATTATAGCTCTAAGAATGTGTATTGTAAAAAATAAACATGAAAACGTGGAACATTTTAGAGAAATCAAAAACAATGGCGTAGAATCTCATAAATTATAGAGAATTACTGCTAATGTTTTGGGGGTCCACATTCACACACCCGAGGAGTGTGCCCACGCTTCTGTGTGTGTCCACGTTTGTTCCTCATTTCTTTTCTCACTTCTCAACTTATAAGGTATTTGTTGTCTAATTCTGAAGTGTTTTTTCATAAATTGATTTTTGGGGGGCATCAAATTCCATCATGTGGCTACTGATCAAAACAAAGTAACCCGAAGGCTGTCTCTGGGACTCCAGATGCTTTGCAATGCCCCCCTGCCCCCCCCGACCCCCCCCGCCCCGCCCCCCCCCGACCCCCCCACCGACCTCCCCCCCGACCCCCCCCGCCCCACCGACTCCCCCCACCGACCTCCCCACTGACACCCCTCTCCGCCCCACCGACCCCCCTGCCCCACCGACCTCCCCACTGACACCCCTCTCTGCCCCACCGACCCCCCCCCCCCCGCCCCACCGATCCCCCCCACCGACCTCCCCACCGACACCCCCCTGCCTCATCTGATAACTAGTGGTGGGTGGACATCTTCACACTTATTTCGAGCTGATTCAGAACATATTCTTAAAAAAATGGAACTGCTGGGTTAAAAAGTGTGAAGCTTTGAAATATCCTTGAAATGTGGAGTCACGTGATAAAATAAGTTGGTAGAGAAGCCTCCTGGACGTCTGCCAATCCTTTTCTTCATTCCTCCCTTTATGCTCCTCCCCTCTTCTGCGACTGCCTCTCCCTAGCTGATAAGAGTTTAAGGTGACTTATTTAAGTCCTTCCCCTCCCCCGTAGTCCCAGGGAATTAAGACTCTTACCAGCTCCATTTTACAGATGAATAACCCAGGTTGGGAGAGGCTGGGTCTCTTGCCTAGGGCCTCCCAACAGTTGAACAAGGATGTACAGCCAGCTGGGACTCCTCACAGCCCCACACTTTCCTGTCCTGCCTCCTGGGGTCACACACGTGCAGTTCTACCCCTGCACTCTTTCCCCCTTCCTGTCTGAGCTCCAGGCCTGCCGCTGTGGTCCATAGACCTTGTGTTGCTGCTGCTGACGGTGGAGCAGAGAAACAGCCTGGAACACATTGTTGTAGCCACGTCTGTGGCTGCACTACAGAAAGGGTTTGAGAAGGCAGGCGGGACTCATGAGGGACCGCTGGGAATTGTTAAGGAGCACACGTTCAGGACCTTGAGGTCTCTAGAGTATTTGTCCATAGAGTTAGAAGACAGGGTGAACTTGTGGTTGAGAAGTCTTCATGAGATGCGAATGTCCCGTTTCTCTCTGTCACCCAGAGTGTGAGTTAACAAGGGAAGCAAAGAGGCTCATCAGTCTTGGCAGGGTTCTCCCTAGAGCCGATGGAGTCGGTTGGATATGGTTGGATATGCCTGAGCCACCTACCCTCCGAGGCTGAGAACTGCTCTCAGCCGTCTCCTTGAGGGTGGTCATTGGTGGTCTCTGTTTCAGCCCCAGCTCCTGGAAGTCTGTCCTCTCCAGCGGTGGCTCTCTCTGTGGTCCTGCCTATCTTGGGACTCCTTATCCTTCTTGGCATTTGGCTCATCTGTAAACAAAAAAGATCAAAAGGTAATTTGGTGGTGGAGCTGTGAGGACAGTGATTGTAGGGTGTGGGGGTGTGGGGGACTGTGACTGCTCTAGGGAAAGACTAGCAGAAGTGGATGTGGGCATGGCATCTACCAGAGGTGGGAGACCCCGCAAGTTGAAAACCGGGACTCACATGGCAGAGGGAATGCAGTAGACTGCGGAGAGGCTCTGGGTAGAGCTGTGAGTTCTCACCCTTTGAGAAATTAGACAGCAACCAACCGTGGCAGCTTTCTAATTAACTAAGAAATTAGAGCCTTCTAATCAGGAAATCCAATTATATCCATTTGGATAAAACCCTCATTAAAATGATCACATTTCTTGGGCTCTTGAGTGCAAAGGATTTGGAAAGTTACATAACCCAACATTTCTTCCCCCTTTTGATGGTGTGAAGACTCTGATCTTTTCAAATGGCCATTTACCTATAGTGGCAAGGGGTCAATCCTAATCAGACGGCTTAGGCCATGTTTGGGCAACACTGTGTTAGGAAGAAATGCTTCCTAAGCTGAGCTCGCTCTCCCCTCTCTCCTTTCCAGAGAAGCTTCTGTACGAACAGGTGATGGAGGTAGGTAAGTGTTCTGGATATGGGTGGGGAACATGTTTTTGTTTTGTTGGTTTCTGTATCTCCAGTGCCCACAGAACTACATTGGTACCTGAAAGTTCCGCCACCTTCTGTTTGTGTTGATGGAGGAACTCAGTCTTTTTCCTAAAAGCAGAGGTAAAGCACGGAATGGGGACATCCCGATCAGAATGGCGCTCTGAAGAGGGCTCTTTGGCTACTGGGTTGTGAAGAGACCAGAGGAGTAAGACGACATGCCAGACAAATTGAGTTCCCACTTTTATGGTTCAGAGGAGAGATGGCAGGCTGGATCAGGAGGGGTGGAAATGAAGATGGCAGAGTTGGGGGCAGTTCAAGAGCTGATAAAACCAACAGGGACTCAGAACCTTCCCTTGAAACGGCCGGGAATTTTATCTGATTTCTCTTTTCTTTCTCTAGAAAATCTTCTGGAAGACCACGCCAAAGAAAAAGGTATGTACCGAGCGAGAGGCAGTAAGCAAGTATAGCATTCTTTCTTCTTACAGTAGATGCCAGCAGTCCCTCCACAGTACTAGAATTCAGTTTCCGGTGTCGAGGGGCGATGGAGTTGGTGGCAGTGGGTGAGGAGATGCCAATGCCCGGATGCATGTGTCTGGATCGCCATGTGCTCCTCCATCAGTCATTCTAGCAATCTTCTTAAAAGGAGGTCTGCCTGTGACTGAAAGATATATGAGCAAGGTCACACGGGATGAATGAGAAACTCAGGCATCCACATGATCTTGACATGCAGAGCAGTGGCATGGTGCCAGGGAAATGCTGCAGGTTTTAGGGTTGGCTGTACTTGATTCAGCTTGCTGGTCTCCCATATTGTGGCCTTGAGTTATTCAGTCTTGCCCTGGACTCTGGATTCCTTATCTGTAACACGGGGATACTAAGTTCCAGTCTTAAAAGAGAAAACCTTTTCAAAAGATCTGCCACAGGGTCTGGGATTCCTTTCTCTCAATGCCACTTTATCACCATTAATTGGATGAACACGTGCTGGGGTCCTCCCAGGATAAAAGTCAAAAGAGATGCTTTTGAAGTCTTGTGGAGATCTATCATCGACTTGATGTCTCCTAGTTCAATGATGTTAGAATCTGGCCCTACGTCATTTCTCCCCAACCTGGAGTTGGAGAGTGTGGAGTTTATACTGCATCCAGGCTGACTGTTCTGCCCAAGAGCACAGAGGAACAGCATTGTGTGATGGCAAGGGACACTGACTTAGAGGTCAGACAAATTTGAGTTCAAATCCCGCCTCCTTGGTCACTTACTAGATCGATGACCTTGAGAAAATTTTATGGTCCTTCTGAGCCTCAGCCTATTTTCTTCAAAGCAGGAATAATAATTCCATGCATGTCACGGTTAAGAGGTTTCAGGTCTCACTCTGTGCAAGAGCAGGGCATGGTGAATGGTGGCAGTTAGGTTGTGGAAGTGACAGTCATACATCCTAAGCTCCTGAGAAGCTATGGTTTATTCAGCGCCACTGTTCCAAGCCAGGAGCCTGCCCTGGGTCTATCCCTTAGCTGGGTGGACTCAGGGTGCATAGCTCCAATCTCTGACAAGGATAATGCTAGGCTGGGGAAGATAAGGGCCAGGTGGGCCCTCTAGAGAAGCTAGAAGCACTCGTGCAAAGCACAGGAAGCATATAAATATTCCAAGCTTCCTGGGCCCTGAATTGTGAGAACGGTGACTTTGGAGAATTGTTCTAGAGAATTATAAAGTCACTCCAGTGAGTGAGTTAGTGATGGGCCTTAGATACTGAAAACAGGAGGCTGCAGAAAGGCAGTAAGGCATGAGAATGTGCACATGTGCACATACACACACAGAGAGAGACACATCCTGGTATCACTAACATGGAAACAGAGGAAGTGAGACCAGACAGAAACAAAGGGAAAGGGGAAGCAAAGGAAGAGCTACCAGCTGGAAAATTACACAAGCTCCATTGGACTCTTAAGTCTGACCTTCAAAACCGGGGATTGGATTAGGAACTGATGGAAACAGCTCCAACCTTTCCTTCTTTTTTTTTTTTTGGATTTTTGAGACAGGGTTTCTCTGTAGTTTTTGGTGCCTGTCCTGGAACTAGCTCTTGTAGACCAGGCTGGCCTCGAACTCATAGAGATCCGCCTGCCTCTGCCTTCCGAGTGCTGGGATTAAAGGTGTGCGCCACCACCGCCCGGCCAACCTTTCCTTCTTGGTGGTGGTGGTGGTGGTGGTGGTGGTGGTGGTGGTGGTGGTGGTGGTGGTGTGGTGTGGAGTGGTGGGCTTTCCAGGGCCCCAGGGGTAAAGGATCAGGTCACTCACTCCTCTCTTTCTCTGATTTTCAGGAAGACTCCACAAAGCCCTCAGTAAGTTCTGTCAAGTTCTCTTATGCCACCCTCTTTCTGCTACTGTCTCTGCTGCGGGCTGAGTGACTCAGTGACTATCTGGGCAGGGGGAACAGGGCAATTCAAACCAAGGAGGGTTGTGTGGCTCTCGACATCCCCATTGTGAGCGCTATCTGTTTCTCTTTCCTACACAGCACTTATGTAACTTCTAAATGGGAGCTGTTTCACCAAGATGTGTGCCTCTCTTAGATGAAACCCTGGGACGTCCTTTATACTGGGGCATAGTGCTCCCTAGGCAGGGTCTGCGGCTGTTGCGTCCCCTCTGGAATGTGACACGGCCTTCTGAATTCTCAGTCATTTCATCCACAGGAACCAATTTTTAACACTTAATAATAACAAAAAACCATAGGAGGCAGAGGCAGGCAAATCTGTGAGTTTGGGGCCAGCCTGGTCTGTATATCAAGTTCCAGATCAGCCAGAGCTACATGGTGAGACCCTCATCCAAAACAAAACAAAAACCAACACCAACAAACTGAAAAACAAGAAGACAAACAAAAAACTGAAGGCATGCAACATGTTTACATATTTTACATAGAGAAAATACACATGCTAACAAGATTTTATAGGGACTTGGCGACAGTTTTACATAAACTTTTATCTTATTCGATAACATCTTCACTTCACTTACATTGTCACCTACAAATGTAATATTTATTGTACCTGAAGGTAAGGTTTGACTCACATAGGAATTTGGGGATCATCTGTCATATCTCTGGGGACTCCTAGGCCACAGCAGGGAGCCATACCCCTATTGCAGGCATCATTATGGGGGAAGTCCCAGGACACGGCTGCTTCTAATCTGTTATGGGAATGCGGGTGTGAGGGACAGAAGCATAGCGAGCCGGTAACGGTTCTTGTTCTGATGCGTCCAACTGTTTTTATTCTTCAGAGAAGCTCCGGAGTGAACTGAGTAAGTCTGCCATGTTTTTGTAATTTCCATGCCAACGTATTTCCTGCCCTGTAAGTCCAGTGACAGATAGCTCACCCCTTGTTTCTTCTCCCCCAGAGTTGAAAAGAGCCGCTGCCAACGCAGGTGAGATGCTCCTCCTCTGGCTTTGGCTCTGCCCTTCCGGGCTGCCTCCGTTCCTACTCCGCTTTAACAAATCCTCCCTTTGCCTTTCAGGTTGGAGAAGAGCCCGGCTGCATTTTGGTAAGTCAAGTCAGCTTTCCCGGTTTCCATTCCAGAGTCCACGCTTCTCCGACTCTGTCGCTTAAGTTTTCATCCCGTCCCACTTGAATCCAGACTGTAAATTTATGTTATTGTAAGTAGTGGTTGTGTCGCTATGCAGCACACAGTTGGATCAAATCTGTCATTCTCCTTGCCTTCCCTCAGAGGACTGTGACCCAGGAGATGTAAGTCAAATAAACCCTTTCCTCCCCAGTTCCTTTTGGTCAAGGTGTTTCGTCCCAGCAATAGCAACTGTAACTGAGACAGGAGCTCACAATTAATCATCAGTCAAACCCAAAACAGGAATCTGGAAGCAGGGACTAAAGTACAGACCATGGGGACATGTGGCTTACTGGCTTTCTCCTTGTGACTTGTCCAGCCTGCTTTCTCATACAACTCAGGACCACCCACCCAGGGTTGACACCACCCACAGTGGACTGAGTCCTGCCATATCAATCATTAATCAAGAAAATGAACCCATCGGTTTTTCCTACAGTTAAATCTGATGGAGACAGCTTTTGTTTTGTATTGTTGTTGTTTTGGAGACAGGGTTTCTCTGTGTGGTCCTGGTTGTCCTGGAATCCATTCTTTAGATCAGGCTGGCCCTGGAACTAGCTCTACAGAACAGGATGGCCTCCAACTCACAGAGATCCACCTGCCTCTGCCTCCTGAGTGCTGAGATTAAAGACATGCGCCGCCACCACCAGGCTGGGAAGCATTTTCTTAATTGAGTTTCCCTCTTCCCAGATTACTCTAGCACAGCAGTTCTTAACCTTCCTAATGCTGCAACCTTTTAATATACAGCTCCTCATGTGGTGGTGACCCCAACCATAAAGATATTTCATTGCTATTTCATAACTGTAATTTTGTACTGTTATGAATTGGAATGTAAATATCTAATATGCAGGATCTCTGATATACAACCCCCAAAGGAAGGGGTCGTGACCCACAGGTTGAGAACCACTAGAGTCTAGCTTGTTATCAGATTGTCAAAAAGCTAACCAGAACATGGTCTAACATCCAAGTCTAGATTTTTTTGTGTTTTGGCTTCTGAGGCTGTCCAGTGCAGTGCCGGTTGGTTTCGTATTCTCTCTGAGGCCACGGATGACCCTGAGCTACTGATGCTCCAGCCTCCACTCCCCAATACTGTCTTACTGCATCATCCCACCTGGTTTACATAGTGCTGGAAGTGGAACCTAGGGCTTCATGCTCACTAGGCAAGCTTTCTGTCTACAAGCTAAATGTCCGGTTCCAGTACATCTGTGGATGTGGTCGGGGAAAGCCATGAACTAAAACAGATTAGTGACAGATTGCAGACCTCCAGAGTATTTCCCCTCCAAATCTACCTGAAGATTCCTTAAGATATAAATTTCTCTTCTCCCCTCCAACTCTCTACAGTGGTGGTGACCCTGGACCCTGACACGGCCCATCCCAAACTCATCCTGTCTGAGGATCGGAGATGCGTGAGGCTTGGCGACAAGAAGCGGTCCGTTCCTGACCACCCTCAGAGGTTTGATTTTGTCGTCAGCGTGCTTGGCTCTGAGTACTTCACCACTGGCTGTCATTACTGGGAGGTGTACGTGGGCGAGAAGACCAAATGGATCCTTGGCGTGTGCAGTGACTCCGTGAGCAGGAAGGGGAAGGTCACGGCCTCACCCGCCAACGGCCACTGGCTCCTGCGGCAGAGCCGTCGGAATGAGTATGAAGCTCTCACGTCCCCGCAGACCTCCTTCCGTCTGAAGGAGTCTCCAAAGTGTGTGGGGGTTTTCTTGGACTATGAAGCAGGAGTCATCTCCTTCTACAACGTGACTGACAAGTCCCACATCTTTACGTTCACCCACAGTTTCTCTAGCCCTCTTCGTCCTTTCTTTGAACCTTGTCTTCACGATGAGGGGAAGAACACGGCACCTCTAGTTATTTGTACCGAGCTGCAGAAGTCAGACGAATCGGTTGTCACCAAACAGGAGGGAAAAAGCCGTGCTAATGGAGACGTGACCCTGAAGGTGAATCCGTCCTTACTGTCTCCTCAGGGTTCTGAGCTTTTTCCAGTCAATGATACCTGGCCCTCTAGCCTCGGCCCTGCCCTTCAGGGGTTCAAGGCTCCTTCTCTGTAGGGCTGTGCCCTGTGATCTGATGCATGCAGGTGAGCATCTTCTAGCCTGGCACCCTGGACTCTGTCTTCTGGCCCAGCATCTGTTTCTCCAGTACCTCTGGTCCAAATCCAGACCCTTCTGTGGCTTCTGTTTGTACCACCTTTCTCCTAGGGTTCAATTCTGAACACTGCCTTTTTTTCTGGAGACTGGACATTCCCATTGCCCTGGTGGATGACTTCTTGATATGAACAGCGCTCACTCAGTGGAGGTTTAGTAGGAGATGTTGGCTGTATCTCATCAGTGTTCAGTGCAAGCTCAGGAGACAGGCTCTGTACCTGAGGGAATCCTGACAGGAACTTCTCACAACGTCAATGGGTTTTCAGTAGTGAAGCTACAGCCCCAGACTCGGACTTTTCCATCAAAGACTGTTCTTCTCTACCCCCGACCCTGCCCCCAGTTCAGGCCTCCAACTCCCAAAGCCAGCTTTTTACAAGTGTATGTCTTGTGAATCACGCATCCTCAGGATTGAAGCAGAGGAGTCAACACTCCGTTGTTTTCTATTTCCTTCACGCTGTTGACAGCACAGTCTGGAGACATTCAGAATATGATTTCAACAGCTAGCTTGAAAGGGAGCTATCCAGAATGTACATGTTTTCAGAATCAGTTTACCTACATGTTTACCAGGAACTATAATACCCCCCAAACCCTCAACATAGGCATGGAGCTGGGAGGCACAGCTGTAATCAAAGCTGTCCAACTGTGTGGTCACTCTGCAGTCTATGGCTCTGACCCTCTGAAGACCTCATGAAGTTCAGAAAGGCCCATGAGAAAAAGTGGCAGTTTGAGCCACTCACCTCAATAGACCCACAAGACCATTATTCTTCAAGACTCAACAAAAGCCTCTGGGTCATAGATTACTAATTTCAAGAAAGCTGGTCTTATTTAAAATAAGATGTCTTATTGCTGGATATGGTGACACACATCTTTAGTCCCAGCAGGCGGATCTCTGTAAGTTTGAGACCAGCCTGGTCTACATAGTGAGTTCCAGGATGGAGAGACCCTGTCTCAATTCCCCCAATCCCCCAAAACCCCAAAACCAAATAAGACATCTTATTTGAAAGATTATATAGTGAGACAATAAAATAATGAATTTAAGGCTGGAAATACTACTGGTCGATTAAGAGCTTATACTGCTCTTGCAGAGGACCTGAGTTTGGTTTCTGGCACCCATATTGGGCAATTGACAACCACCTGAAACTCCAACTCTAGAGGATGAGGCTTCCTCTTCTAGCTTTCAAGGGCACCTTCAATTCACTGCACATAACTATACATCAACGCACACATGCACACACGCGCACACTACACATTTATTTTTTTTGGATGTGGATTAGAAAAAGAAGGCAGGGGGCCGGGCGATGGTGGCGCATGCCTTTAATCCCAGCACTCAGGAGGCAGAGGCAGGCGGATCTCTGTGAATTCAAGACCAGCCTGGTCTACAGAGCTAGGTCCAGGACAGGCTCCAAAGCCACAGAGAAACCCTGTCTCGAAAAACAAAAACAAAAACAACAACAACAACAACAAAAAAAACAAAAAACAAAAAAGAAGGCAAGGAACTTTCAGGTAACACCCATGTATGTGAGGCAGCCTCTTTGTTTGCAGGTGAGAAGGCAGCTGGACCCCTCTGGAACTAGATCTGTGACAAGTTCTTTCCAATAGTGCCTGCAATAGTCAGGGTTCCCTAGAGAAACAGAGCCAACTGTGTGTGTGTGTGTGTGTGTGTGTGTGTGTGTGTGTAGTGCAGGAATGGGGGCAGAAAACGAATACATACGAGACTGAAGTTGGCAAGTTGGAGATCTAGAAAGAGCCAATGTTTAATTTCAGTCCAAAGCAAGGGAAAGACCTGAAGTCCAGTCCAACGCCAGACAGGCCCCAAAACTGGTTTGGAATCTTCCACTGATTGGATGGCTCCCCCTGGAATTAACATGGGTAACTGCTTTCCTCAATCTATTGATTAAATGTTAATCTTGTCCAAACTACCCTCATAGGGACAACAATTATAATGTCTGATGAAATATCTGGGAACCTTGTGACTTGGTCAAGTGATATGTAAAACTTGCTATTACAGAGCCTCAAAAGACTATTTTGTTTGTCTTTGTACAGTTATTAAAAACAACTTTTAGTATTTACTGTTTGGCATGTTGTCTTCATTGTGAAGGAAACTGTGGAGAAAACCCATGATGGGGTTGGTTTCAAGCACGCTTTAGACACAGTTCATAATAAACCCAGTTTGATTCCCGAGTCTGCCTCTGAGGTTTTATCTTTGCCAATTTATAAATTAATAGTGTATAATACTTATATTTCACACACATCTCCAGCTCCAAACATATGTGTCTAAATAGTCAACCCTAAAACTAAGCCCACTGGTCTTACCTATTGAGAGAGATCACCACAGAAACCAGAGCTATTTGAGGAGGCAGGAGATTATCTATCTAATCACTCATTCAGTCTCTGCGATAGCTGTGTCAGGGGTTTTACAGAGGAAAGAACTGGGATTATACAGTTTGTGGCTCTCTTTTTCTTTTCAGATGTGTGTGTGTGTGTGTGCACGTGTGTGTGTGTGTGTGTGTGTACTCATGTGTAGATGCCCAGGAGGTCAGAAGAGGACATTGGATCCCCTGGATCTGGAGTTGGTTGTAAGCTCCTTGATGTGGATGCTAGAAATTGAACTCGGGTCCCCTGAAAGAACAGTAATTGCTCTTAACCACTGAACCATCTCTAGCCCTAAACCTTTTCCAGCTCCAAAGTCAGGCACTGAAAGAACATACAAACACGAAAAGCTTGTAGTTATCATATACATTCAATTAATCTCTACACTCTATCTTGCTCCTAATCTTTATTGTTTTTAAAAATAAAACAAACCTCCAAAACAAACAAACAAACAAACAAACCCCCAAACCAAAATGCAGCTCTGGATACTTAACTGTCTGTTGATCCAGACTGATGAGATTTTTGGGTTAACTGAGGATCATGAAGGACACAGAAAATCCCTGTACTGGGCCCCTGGCTGACCTGGCTGAAGGTCAGTCCTTGGACGGGGACACTCCTCTTCTTGGACAAAGAGATCAGAATACTTATCTTTAAACTTATTTTTAGGTTCATGCTCTTTTAATTTTAAACTATAAACTTTAAATGAAGTACGAGGCTTCTATCGAGAGCCACCATCTCAAAAGTAAAACAGAAAAGAAACCTAATGACCTTAGAAGTGAAGACAGCTTCACAGCTGTGTTCTGAACTGGGCAAATGTTTGCAGCAACGCAAACCGCTTCAGGACTACAACTCCCAGCATGCTGCGCCCTAGACCAATGTTTATTGGCCGTAGAGAGAAAAGATGTCCCCAGAATCCAATTCCGACGCGGCGGAGGCTGGTCCTTTCTGGGTTCCGGCTCCGGCTCCTTCCCCCGCCCACCCAGGCGGCGCTGTCCCTGACCGAGCTGCGGGAGTGAGGTGGGTCGCGGTTGTGCTGAGGTGACGTGGGGGGAGGCGGTCGCGACGCGCGGGGCGCTTGGAGCGCGGCCCCTTCGCTCTCGCAAATGGCTTGGAAGCTGCTGTTTCGCTTGTGGGTTCCAAAGGCCGCCGGGGGCTGTGTGTCCCTTCGCCGTGATCCTGTCCAAGTCTTGCTACCCTCCCGCCCTTACTGTTGGCCTTGGACCACTCCCTGCTCCTCCCAAACAACGCGCCTTTAGGGTCGCTCCTTGTGCTCTTCCCCCTCCAGCCTCAAGCCCCTCGACCTCTCTGAACCCAGCTCCTGCCCTCCAGGACGCTGTACCCTGACTCCTCCAACTTTCCCCTGCCCTCCCCACTCAGACAGCCTCTTTGGACACTTCTGCAGCCTTTGTCCCCTCTCCGTGACCACGTCAGACTCAGCCTCCTTTGATGTTCCATCTCTGACCCACTATGCAGCTCCCGTGAGTCTCCACACCTTGCCCGTGGTCCTTCCACGCAACTCGCGGTGCCCTTGACTTGTACCCAGATCTGGAACTTTAATCTTTCAGACCACAGGTTGGAGTGTCCCCTCTAATCCAGGCTTTTATCCTTCATCCCTTCGTCATCTGTGATCACCAAGCTCTGTCTTCTTGGCTTGTTCCTTGAACTGGTCCCTCCTTTGCACGCTTGTTTCAGATCTGTGCCGCTGAGCTCCTAAGAAGAAAACCCAATATGTACTAGGTCTCTTCTCCCTCAGATCATTGAAGTGCAATATGAATATGACCTTGTATTTGAGCTGCTCTGTCTTTTTTCAGTGAGTAATGGACTCCCTGCCTGTTCCTGCCAGTTCTGGTCTTGCTCCATCTTGCAAGTCATAGTTCAAATACCACCTCCCCCATGAAACTGCTTCTGAGCCCTCTTCAGAGACACTCTTGGCGTCTCTGTGTGGTCCTAACTGCTGTAGCGCTCTCCCACCTCTTTCTTTCCTTTTCTCCCTCCAGCCTAGGGTGATGGCGCTAGGCTTCAGTTTTGTCTTTCAATTACTGTGTGCTCCTGGGCTAGTGACTTAGTTCTCTGCATTTCAGTTTCATCATTTCTAAAATAAGTATGAAAAATGAATAGGAGGCAGAGGCTGGCTTGGTCTACATAGTGAGTTCCAGGAGAGCCAGAGCTACATAGTGAGACACTATCTCAAAAAAAAAAAAAAAAAAAAAAAAAAAAGAATAGTAAAGATGAATTGAGATGATGCATGTGGAGTGCTCAGCTGTAGTCTAGTGCTTTGTAGGACCTTTAGAAAATGTTACCTTTTTTTCCTCCGAGGCAGAGTTTCTCTGTGTAACTTTGGAGATTGTTCTGGAACTCGCTTTGTAGACCAGGCCGGCCTTGAACTCAAAGCGATCTGCCTGCCTCGGCCTCTCGAGTGCTGGGATTAAAGGCGTGCGCCACCGCCAGGCAGAAAGTGTTACATGTGCAGTGCTGGGCCATGAAGGATGGGGACAGATGTGGCTCAGTCACTCTCTTCCCTGGAACCTCATGTTCTTTTTTGTTTGTTTGTTTGTTTTGTTTTCCGAGACAGGGTTTCTCTGTGGCTTTGGAGCCTGTCCTGGAACTACCTCTTGTAGACCAGGCTGGTCTCGAACTCACAGAGATCCGCCTGCCTCTGCCTCCCAAGTGCTGGGATTAAAGACGTGCACCACCACCGCCCGGCTGGAACCTCATGTTCTGCATTGTGTTCTCAATCTGCTTCATTCTGTTGTGTCGTAACTGTATGAAGGTGGTAATCATAATCTTACCTCTTTTTAAAAATTGTAGTTATTATTCAGTGGGTGTGGCAGTGGCACCACAGCTTGTATGTGGAGGTCAGAGGGCAGCGTTCAGAGTCAGTCAGTTCTCTTTACTGTGGGTTCCAGCATTGAACCCAGCTTGTCAGGCTTCTGTGGCAAGTGCTTTTAACCATAGCTGGTCAGTCTCATCGGTCCCATCATCCAACCCTAAATCATTCTATTTAAAAAGAAAAAAAACCCATTTCTTTTTTTTTAATTTATTTATTTATTAAAGATTTCTGCCTCCTCCTCGCCACCGCCTCCCATTTCCCTCCCCCTCCCCCCGATCAAGTCCCCCTCCCTCGTCAGCCTGAAGAGCAATCAGGGTTCCCTGACCTGTGGGAAGTCCAAGGACCACCCACCTCCATCCAGGTCTAGTAAGGTGAGCATCCCAACTTCTTAGGCTCCCACAAAGCCAATACGTGCAGTAGGATCAAAAACCCATTGCCATTGTTCTTGAGTTCTCAGTAGTCCTCATTGTCCACTATGTTCAGCAAGTCCGGAAAAACCCATTTCTTTATGTGTGTGTGTGTGTGTGTGTGTGTGTGTGTGTGTACTTGACATCGTGTGCATTGGGGCTCAGAGGACCACTTGCAGGAGTTGGTTCCTGCTCCTTCCATGGTGTCCTGGGGAATCAAACTGAGATTCAGGCTTGGTCACTCATGTCTTTATCTACTGAGTCATTTTTCCACCTCAGTTTTAAAAAATGTATTATATATATATGTGTGTGTGTGTGTGTGTGTGTGTGTGTGTGTGTGCACCTGAGTAAATGTATATGCACCACATGCGTGCAGGTGCCTGTGGAGCCCCTGGAGTTGGAACTACAGGCAGTTATGAGCTACCTGATATGGGTGCTGGGAACTGAACCTGGGTCCTCTGCAAGGACAGCAAGTGCTTTTAACCACTGAGCCAACTCTTCAATCCCCAACTCAGTCCTGTATTTATTTGTTTGCTTATTTGTTTGTTGAGACAGAACTCTGACTGTTCCAAAAATCATTATGTAGACCAGGTGGTCCTTGAATGCACAGAGATCTGCCTGCCTCTGCCTCCCAAGTGGTGGGGTTAAAGGTATGTGCCACTATGCCTGGCAGTTTTTTTTTTTTACTCTTTTTAAATTATTATTATGTACACAGTGTTCTAGCTGCATGTATGTCTGCAGGCCAGAAGAGGGCGCCAGATCTCAGTACAGATGGTTGTGAGCCACCATGTGGTTGCTGAGAATTGAGCTCAGGACCTCTGGAAGAACAGCCAGTGCTCTTATCTGCTGAACTATCTCTCCAGCCCCTTTTTACTCTTTATATTTACCCAGCATTCAGCCTTGGATATATACTTGGTAAAATATGATCTCAGCAGTTTTAAAAGAGAGTGTACAGTTGGGTGTGGTGGCACATGCTTTTAAATCTAGCACTTAGGAGGCAGAGGAAGGTGGATCTCTGTGAATTCAAGGCTAGCCTGGTCTACATAGAGAGTTCCAGGACAGCCACAGCTACATAGAGAAACTTATTTAATAAATAAATAAATAAATAAATAAATAAAAGAAATTAATGGAGGCCACATAGCTCCTTGTATATAGATCCTAAAGTCCTAGGTAGAGTCAGCAGGGCTGAGATTAATTTTCTCATCCATTTACTTTCTCATTCGGCAAGCAATTGAGCACCTGGCCTTGAGCCGTACAAAGTTACTACAATAATAAGTATAACATTCTGTTACAAAGGAGAAAGTGGGCACATCAGGAGATTTCCAAGGAATTGTAGTGAGAGTAGAAACAAGAAAGCATGTCAGGCGTCTGGGTATACTTCTGGCCTTCTGTTATTCAGTTCACTGTGGGGGGGGTGTATGTTTTATGTTGCTGTATCTGGTAAGGATGTGTATGTCGTCTGTGTGGCTGATGTTAGCATGTCGGTTGTATGTGTGATATGAACGTATGTAGTATGTCTAGCTGATTTCTGCGTTTGTTGTGGGTATAGCTGTGTGTCATCTAAGAATGTAGCTGTGTGTGTGTGTGTGTGAGTCTGTGATGTCTGTGTGCAGAAGTCGGCACTGATAGTTCTATCATGACAGACAGAGCTCAAGTCCTGCAGTAGGCCTTGTTAGCCGGTTGGTATATTATGGTAAGGGATCGACAGCGAGTACTGGCAGTAAGACTGTTCAGAGTTGGGTCTTGTAAGTAACTACTTCTAGATATGCTCACTTCAGAATCAGTGAATAGATGGCTACTGGACAGGAAGAAACTGAATTAATCTCTAAATGGAAGCACCTTTACTTACATATAAATTATAGTCTAGATGGTATTAAGAGTGACATTTGAATTGCGCTGAATATATCCGTTAGTGGGGGGTTGTAGCGGCGTAAACGAATGCAGACAGAGTGTAAAAATATATATATATAGCTTTAATGTAGAAATAGACTTACAGAACCACCGTTCCCGCGGAGACCAGGAAAGCAGAAGCGAGCAGCTCGGAGCTTGCTCACCAAATTTATAGGCAGACATTAGCCCGAGGCGAACACGCCCCTTAAGGGGCAGGACTTATCCCTACATCTCCCCTTTTTGTCTAAATAAGACAGAACTAAACCAAATACAACTACATACAATAACAACAAATAATAAATACAACAAACAATATTGAGAACAAAAGCTTTGCTAAACATTCTATCTCAAGAAGTCCAAATAATGTAAAGAGTAACTACAATTATATAATCTTCAACTCAGTCAAAGATCTGAGAAGGGAATAAACACTACTCAACAAACGAGATATATCCAAAATGTGCAACAATTGACAGAGACAACTGACTACCTGGGCAATCACCCAAAGTCTCGTTTGCAACGTTGAGTCAACCAATTTTGGCTAAGGCCTAACATAACTGACATACCATTATTAAAGGCAAGGAACTTTTCAAAACTATCTTACCCTGTCTTGGCAGGATATGACAGTCCTGTTTTATCCATTGATGCACGCTCTGTATCTGTGTCAGTGGTTGAGGTATGGGCATTTCTTTGCCCAAAGGCCAGTTCTGCCAAATAGAAAGGCTCCAGATGGAGTGTTTTTGGTGCTCAACATTCTCTCGGGAATAGAGCGGTGTTGCCAGGAGCAATTGTGTCTCACTATCACGAAACTCTGAGTTAGATTAAAGGCCATTTTCTACAGCTCTTTGAAGAGGTTGAAGATTATCTATCTATACTGAGTATAATCTCTATAT